GTTCCGTGCCGTGCCGTGCCCTGCCCCTCCGCTGGGCCCCTCATGAAGCACGCTCGGCACGCGCCCCGACTTTGGCTCGGCGTGCTGCCGCCAAGCGATCCCGAAGGATGCGCCTCTCGTCGCTCCGTCTCTCTCGCGCCCCCTGCGGGCCGGGTGCCCCGCGTGAGTGCGAGAGAGACCGATGATCGAGGAAAGCAGCGCTCGGACGGAATCCACCTGCTGGCCGGCTGCACGGTGGCGGTGTGCGACTGTCACCGGTGCGGGGCCGCGGGCCGGCGGGGCACCATTCAGCGCTCTGTCCAGACTCTGTCCCTCTCGCATTCATGGAGCGACCCGTACAGGCCCGAGAGAGACACAGCGACGAAAACGACTGTCTGTCGGAATCGGTCTACCGGCCAGGGCCAGCGCAAGGCCGCGACGCATCTCGCCAAGGACGCGATGTGGCCCGTCGCCTGGCGTCGCGGAAACCGGTTCTCTCGTGGGGTGTTTGCGACCGGCGCCAACAACAACAATAATGGCAGCAGCAACAACGGCGTAGTGCATTCCCTGAAGGCGCTTACTCCTTTATCCAGATGGCCCGGCCGTAGAGAAGAGCCCCGAGGCCAGCATGGTGGTGGACGCCCTGGTGGACGCCGGGCAGACGGGCCAGGCAGTCCCCATGGCGCTGTCCGCGGCGGAGGCGGTGGGCGGCCTGGACGGCCTGGGGCTGGGCGACGGGCTGTGGTCGCTGGGCGGCGTGCCCCTGCGCGTGGACTGCATCCGCCTGTCCGGCGCCGTCACGCAGGTGCACTGGGACGCGGTGGCCGAGTTCCTGCGCCGCGTCTCGGCCCAGCGGCTCGTGCTGCCCCTGCAGACGCCCGAGGTGGCCGACGGCGCGCCGCCGCTGCCGCCTCCGCCCCCGCCGCCCCCCGCGGCGACGAGGACCCACGCCTCCCTCCGCGCCCGCCCCCGCCCCGCGCGGCGACAGCGCCGCATCAGCGACACGGAGGCCTGGACGCACATGACCCTGGCGGCGGACGGCACCGCCCTCGCGGCCGCGCCTAGCCCCGCCGAAGAGAGCGTCAGCGAGGACTCGGGCCTGGAGTCCAGCCACGACTCGAGCCTGGACTGCAACCAAGACTCCAGCCTGGACTGCAACCAAGACTCCAGCCTGGAAGCCGACCTCGGCGTGGACTCCGGGACCGGCGTCGCCACCCCCGCCGCAGCGCTCAGCTCGCGCGGACCGCGGCGGCGCAGCAGCGGCACGCAGACCTGGCCGGCGGACTGCCCCGGCGACCTCGACGCGGAGGCCCAGGAGGCCGAGGAGGAGGTGGGGCTGGAACCGGATCTGGACCTGACGGCGGCCTCGGTCATCCGCAGGAAGCGGCGCGCCAGCGCCACGCAGACGTGCTCCATGTTGACGTGGCCCACGCCGCCCGCCCCCGCGCCCCCACCGCCGCCACAGCTGCAGCCCTTGAAGCGGAAGCGCCGCGTGAGCCCCGTGCAGGCGTGGGCCCCGCTGGGGGCGCCGAGCACCTGGGCGGCCCCCTTCGAGCGCCTGGAGCGCGCGGAGCGGCGGCCCTCGGACGGAGCGCCGTCGCTCACGTCGGACGAGGAGGAACCCAGCTGGCAGAGGCTGCTGCGCAGGCCGGGCTGGCCCGAGAAGGCCCTGGCCGAGGCCGAGAGCCGAGCGCAGCGGCAGCAGGACGCGCTGGCCGCGCTGCACCGCCAAGACAAGGACAAGGCCCTGCGGCTGAAGGGGGAGGTCCGCGAGGCGAAGCGCGCCTGGATCGGCAGCCGCCTGTTCCACCACCGCGCCGAGGAGGAGGCCCTGCAGGCCTTGGCCGGCATGTCCAGCGTGGAGGAGGAGGAGTCCGAGGCCGTGGCCAGTGCCTCCACCTCGCCGGCGACGTCCACGTCCACCTCCCCGACGGCGTCGCCCACGTCGTCCAGCACCGGCAAGTGGCGGCAGCTGCGGCGCCAGCTGTGGGCCAACCTGCGCGCCCTGAGCAGCGGCAACTCCAGCAGCCTCGAGTCGGAGGAGGACGGCGTCGGCGGCAGGAACCGCAAGCTGAGCGCCACGTCCACGTCGTCGGCCGTCTCGTCGTCCTCCGCGTCCTCCATCTCGTCGTCGTCGACCGCGGCCGAGGAGCGGCTGGCCGCGCGGCCTCCGCCCCGGCCAAGGCCGCGACCCCGGCCTCGCCTCAACCAAAAGTGAGTCAATGGGACGCTGCCGCCGGGAGTCGAACCCGGGGCCGCGGACCTGCAGCGGCTTCTCCTTGAGGGCCGCGTGAGTGTCGTGTTTTGTCGTCGTGTTTCGTCGTCGTTCCGCGATGGCCGATGGATTGCCGAAACTCTGGCATGTGCGGCGCCACGCCGCGGCCTGCCGCGCCCGTGGGGCCCATGGCCGCTTGGCACGACTCTAGGTGTGCGCGCGCGCTGCTCGAGCTGCGTGGGCGTAGCCGCGTAGCCTCGCCTCGGCGGAGGCTGGACGAGGCCGCCTGCGAGGTAGGCAGCGCGCGCGCGGCCCTGCGCGCCGGGACGGCCTGGCTGCGCGGCGGATGGCGGGGTGCCGCGGCCGCGGACGCGGGCCGTCGACGCGGACCTTGCCCGGTGCGCCATCTGGAGCGGCACGGCCGTTGTCCCCGCCGCACTGGGCCGAGGCTGGGGCTGGACTCTCGAATTACATCAGATTTTTCGCGGCGAGCCGAGCAGGAAGCTGACGGCCTGGACGGTCTGGAAGTAGGTTGGAGCGGCGTCGCGCTGGCGGCGACTCGACTCGACGCCGGCGTCTGACCCGCCCCGCCCCGCCGAGCCTGAGCGTCGCGACGCACGCAGCCACTTGTCCCGGAGGTGGGAAGGGAGGGGAGGAGCGATGCGGCGGCTAGTGTTCGGCAGGGCTGGTCTGTGTGTGCGTGTGTGATTGTATTTATACTTGTCGTCGCACAGCGCGGGCTCCTTTTTCTCGTTTTACTTCTCTTTTTTTCTCTCCCGGACGTGATGTATTTTCGCCGCGCTGCCGCCGATGGCGACGCCGCTGCTCCACATACCGGCCGCACGCGGCCAGCACGCGGCCGGCGGGCTGGCTGGAGGAGACTGACTCCGAGAGTCGTTTTCGTCGCGCTGTCCCTCTCGCACTCATGGGGCGTCCCGCACGGGTGCGAGAGAGACAGCGACGAAAACGACTCTCGGGATCAGTCTGCGGGATTGATCGGGGAAACGAAACGGGCCGGTGGCGCCAGCCCGACGGCCGACGGCTCCACGACGACGACGACGACGTCGGTCGGCGCGGAGAGGAACCGCCGCCGCCGCCGCCGCGCGCACCTGCCGACCGATTTGTCGCTCTGTCTCTCTCGCACCCTCACGGGGACCCCCACGAGTGCGACAGAGACGGGGCGATGAAAACGACTCTCCTGAATCGCCCGGCCGCCGCGCTGCATTCCCATTCATTAAATATGCACGCTTTTGCAAGCTGGCTGACTGGGTCTGCTGCCTTTGGCGCCGCCGCGGTGCCGCGCGACGAGACCAGTCCGATAACACGAAGGATTAGGACCGCGCCCTTCTCGGCGTCGCGCGGGAGTTGGCCGAGCTGGCCGGGCTGGCGGGGCGGGCCGCGGTCGGTGACGGCACGCGGCTATGTTCGCCGCCTTGCGTCAGCCGTCAGGCCGTCCCTTGAGCGTGCGGTGGCCGTCTTGACGCGCGGCATCAGCGGATCGGGAATGGCTCCAAGGGGGAAGGCGAAATTGGCGCTGATTGCCTACTTACTGGGGCAGTGTGCGCCGGCCTGCCTTCGCGGTACCTGCAGACTGATTCCGAGAGTCGTCGCTCTGTCTCTCTCGCACTCCCGGGGGCGTCCCGTGCAGGTGCGAGAGAGACAGAGCGACGAAAGCGACTCTGAGTCTGCTGGTGCTGGACGGCCTGGACCCGGGCTGCCGATGGCGGCGGCGTCGGCGCCGTCATGCCGTCGCGTATTTCTGGACGTGCATGATGGTGTGGGTGACGCGAGCCGGCTGCGGTTTGGTTGGACCCGCGGGCCGATTCCGAACAGGGCGGCGTCTCTCTCGCACTCGTGCGGCCGGGCGCCCCGTTGGGTCTGAGCTGCAGACTGATTCCGAGAGCCGTTTTCGTCGCTCTGTCTCTCTCGCACCTACAGCGGACGCTCCATGACTGTGAGGGAGACAGCGAGGGAAACGACTCTCGGAATCAGTCTTCTGCGAGGCGCGGAGCCACTTTTCGTATGGGAATGAGCCGCCTGGCCGCAGCCTGGCGGTGACGGCGGCGGGTCCCTTGATGATGAGTCGCAGGACCCGCAGGACCGAACCGCCGACTGGTCGTCGGTGACGTGACCGGCGCCCAGCTGGTCGACCACCCGACCCGGCCTGGCCCGACCCGGCTGGAACGGACGGACAGACAGACGGACGGACAGCAGTGACGACAGCGACCAGTGTTTTGAATGACATCAACGGTGGTTCGCGCTTCGCTTCGCGACAGGCGCTTGGGTCGGCCGGCCGGCCACGCTGCATCAGCTGCGATGTTGGTCCGACTGGAGGGCGGCTCTGCTCTATAGGCTTTGCCGGGCTTTGCCGCTTTGCAGTGTGCTGTCTCTCGGAGGAGCTTCCCTCGGCGGGCTGCCGGCTCTCTGTTGGCGGACTGGGCGGACCGTTAGCAAGTCGCATGCCCCGTCCAGTCACGTGACTAGGCTCGACCTGACCTGGCCTGACCTGACCCGACCTGCAGGGGTCAGTCCAGTGTCGTTGTGCCAGTTTTCTCGCGCTGGCTTGTTAGGCGGTGGCAATGTGCAGTTGAACCAACGCGAGAAGGAAAAAAGGGGGGGGGGGCAGCCCATGAGTGCGAGTGAGAGGGTTACACATGTCTGTTCAACGGTTTTCTCGTTTCCTATTTGTCCGTGTTAGTGTTGCTTGTTCTTCCTCCTCCTCCTCGCGATTGCAGGTCCTTTGGTTTTTCCCCCATGGCGTTGCGGAAGCGTGCTCATGGCGTGTGTTTTTTTCCCTGTGTTCCAGATGGTACTTCGGCAAGATCAAGCGCATCGAGGCGGAGAAGAAGCTGCTCCTGCCGGAGAACGACCACGGGGCTTTCCTCATCAGGGACTCGGAGAGCCGGCGGAACGACTACTCGCTGTCAGGTGGGCTGAGCACTCCTGCTTGCCGCGGACTGATTCCGAGGCTCGTTTGCGTCGCTCTGTCTCTCTCGCACTCTTGGGGCGCCCCACTGGGTGCGAGAGAGACAGAGCGACGAAAGCGAGTCTCGGAATCCGTCTGCTGTCCAATTCTGGGCGTAGCGTGGCTCGCCCGTTTTCTGCTGTCTCTCCTCATGTTTCCTTTGTGTTTGCAGTGAGAGATGGAGACACAGTCAAGCATTATAGGATTCGACAGCTGGATGAAGGAGGATTCTTCATCGCTCGCCGGACAACGTTCCGTACATTGCAGGAGTTGGTAGAACATTACAGCAAAGATGCCGACGGCCTCTGCGTCAACCTAAGGAAACCTTGTATCCAGGCAAGTATTTCATTTCAGTCCACTTATCAAGTTTTGCCACATTACCAAATTATTCCACATTTCAACTCAAAAACTTAACCCTCCTCTGTGAGACCCTAGAACATACAAGACCTCGCCAAATGTGTGCCAAATGAATTAGAGACAGGCAATTTGACGGCAATAATGTTATCTACCTCATCACATAAGCATTGCTGGAGTTTTATTTTATTTCCCTTCCTTTGTTAATACTTTAACGCTTAGGCAAATTATTTTTATCTTGGAAATGAAAAGGCTACTCTATTATGGCAATGAATTTCCTTTTCCAATATTTCCATTTTTCATTTGTTTTCCTTCTGTTATTTGGGTGGGTCATTAAAAAACTGTTCCAAAATTGAAATTTGTGAATTTTAACATTCTTTCTATCTGTCTTCTGCTTCAGATGAAACTGGTAAGCAATGAGCAATGTCAGATTTTCACACGTTCAGTAGTTTGCTAAATTCATACTGGTACTGGCATGTTAAAAAGGTTGCATTAGATAGTTCATCCAAGGCAAAAGTTTTCTGTGCACGTCAATCCGCCTGCACCACACTAAATACAGACTCTTAAGACAGTTTCTCAACCTTCTATGGTAGTTTTAATGTGCCAAATGGTTGGTGTGTGTGGAATGTCATGCAGTGTTTGATAGCAATAAATGTTACAGTTAGTATTAACTTATTTGCCCAATTCAAGAAGTAATTTTTGTTGTTGTGCAATTGTATTTGAATGGGCTGGTGAGATCAAGGTGGCCTAGCAACTCTCAAATGAGGCACCACTTTCCTGTCCTGATTTCTAGTTGTGCCAGGTTTTTGGTCACATTTGGTGCTGGTCATTGGAACACAATCCAAACTTGCATTTCTTCTTCCATGTTTAGTGACATAATCTGGATTATAGTCGTCCCAAGTTATCAAGGCTATCAAATGTGATTTGTGATGATGGTGATCTCTGTTTTGCATTGTGCACTTGATATCATCGTGCTATTTGAACGTATCTGTTCTTATTATGAAAGCCTCAGAAACTTTTTCTGTTAAAATTAAAATCTGTTTGGTAGGTCATAGACTGTATTTTGCATGCTACACTACACTTAAAAAAATCTCATACAATGATCCTTGACCTCTCCCACATAGTTTTGTAGCACAAGATATGCAGTAGGTGCTGATACCCAAGGGTGCTAAGAATATTACTGAAATATTTTACCTCATTGTTATTTTTCTCATACAAATAGATTCTTGTGGGGATTTGTTTCTTGTTTGGTAATATTTTTTACACCAAAAAAAAAAACACAGTGTAAGGAAGAGATCAAATAAAATACAATGCACTTGGATAAAGGAGTTAAGACCCTAGAGCATGGATTTCTGTCACTTCCTTTACCAATGGAGCATGCTTAGAATTTTATGGGCGTTTTCTTTTATTTAAGGAGTTTCAAGCCATATTAATTAATGGGCATTTCTTGCATACATGAATGAAACACACTATTGATTATGTTTGTTCCACTCGACATCCACATACAAGTTTCGTATGCAACCTGGACCCAGACTCCAATTAGAAAATGACATGATAGTCACATCACCTTAGCTCTCTCATCTTCTCTACCTGCACATCTATTAATGTTACTCTTTTGTGTATTCATAGATTGAAAAGCCAGTTACTGGAGGACTTTCACATTCAACTCGAGATCAATGGGAGATAGACCGCAATTCTCTGAAATTTGTCCGGAAGCTCGGGCATGGACAGTTTGGTGAAGTTTGGGAGGGCCTGTGGAACAACACTACTCCTGTTGCCATCAAAACTTTAAAACCAGGTAATTACAATAAATTACTCAGTATTATGGAGTTACTTTTGTCTCACATAGCCCTTCATCTCACTCAATGCTATTTTTCAGGCACAATGGATCCTAAAGACTTCCTTGCTGAAGCTCAAATCATGAAGAAGCTGCGTCATACAAAGCTTATTCAATTGTATGCTGTCTGTACTATGGAGGAGCCAATTTACATTATAACCGAACTGATGAAAAATGGTAGTTTGTTGGACTTCCTTCAAGGTAAGTACAGGGTTCTCTGCACCACTCCTTGTTTTATCAGGGAATGTAGCATGTCAATTCAACAATTTGACCTCATTCTTTTCAGGCAAGGGTCGCCAGCTGAAATTGCCTCAGCTGATAGATATGTCTGCTCAAATTGCGGCCGGCATGGCATACCTTGAATCTCAGAATTATATTCATCGTGACTTGGCTGCGAGAAATGTATTAGTCGGAGACAGCAATATTGTGAAAATAGCTGACTTTGGCTTGGCTCGTCTCATTAAGGTAAGATAAAATAGAGAATTGAAATGTTTTTTCTGAAGTCTATTCTGAACCACTTATTTATCTTATGTTATTACTCGAATTCTTTATAGGAGGATGAATATGAAGCTCGTGTTGGTGCACGTTTCCCTATTAAATGGACCGCTCCAGAAGCTGCCAATTATAGTAAATTTTCTATCAAGTCAGATGTTTGGAGCTTTGGTATTCTTCTTACTGAGCTGGTAACCTATGGACGCATACCATATCCAGGTAATCTCTCTTTCTCTTCGTTTTTGAAGTCCTGTGTCAAGCGGAATTGATCTTATATCTGTGTTGCGAATGTGCTTTTTTCCCTCCAGGTATGACAAATGCCGAGGTGTTGCATCAAGTGGAACACGGCTACCGCATGCCCTGTCCTAACCAGTGTCCTAGTGCTCTATATGACATCATGTTGGAATGCTGGCACAAAGACCCAATGAAACGGCCAACCTTTGAGACTCTCCAATGGAAACTTGAAGATTTCTTCACCATGGAGGGCTCTGAATACAAGGAAGCGTCAGCTTACTGAGACCGCGCCCACCTCCCCGACTGGCCCCACGCTCTAAGGGTGCCTCATGGCACTCTACCTGGATAAATTTGGTAAGTCGGGGCTTGCCACCTAGCAAGGCTCCTCCCAGGCGGTCTTAAGCCTCTGTCCGTCTTTTTGCTCTGTACCATTGACGTGATTCCCTGATTCTTTCTGTCTTGTAGGTAATGCCATACCGGACCAAAAGCTAACCTGAGGTTGGGCTGGCGCAGGGGATGGGTGGGCACTTTGGAACCTAGTAGACTCATTTGTGTAATATTTGTGGCTTTTCATTTTTGTGATTATCTAATGTTCTACCAATCAATCAAGCCTCATGAGGTGTTACCAAACTACAAGAATTTGAAATCTTTACATTGCTGGACTGGTTAGAAGTACATCACATGTAGGTGTAGTGGATGATCATACTATTGCTCACTTAGTAAATGATTACTGTCTCTTAATTTATTTTAGGACATTTTGGGCAATATTCACTCTTTTTCCAGTAACATCAATTGGGAGTTTCTTTTTTTTTCTTTTTGAAGTATTTGTGGTGAAACAATTTGTCTGTTAATAGATGCATGCTTTATTTACTATTATTGTTTATTAATTGTGTGACCACATGCGCTTTTTTGATCATGTTTTGGACTGATTAGTGTCACCAGTGATTGCTATATTGATTGCTTTTATTTTTAATGATGCATTTACAAACAGAACTGATGTACTGTGTCCGTGTATTGTTTGGGTTGCCTTTTCCCTTGTTTTTTTTCTTTTCTTGTCCATACGTATTTTTCCTTTCTCTCTGTCTTTTTTTATTTGAGAAGCCATAGTTAGATTTCACAAACCCTTACCAAAACTTTGATGTGTGTGCGTGACGTTTGTAGGTGCTATCAAGTTTTAGTTGGGAAGCTTTGAAAGAATTTTGCTTTTATAAATACGAGCTGTTATGAATTCAAAAAAATAATTATGCTGTTATTTTTGTATATATATAAGTCAGCACTGTACGATGTGCTATTGGCATCTGCCAGTATTACTATTTTACCGTATGACAAGCCTTTAGTGTAAGATCGAGGGGCATAGCATGTTCCATTAATACGTGTCTACTGATACACTAAATGGAGCCATCTCTATTATGTTGAATTCTTATCTTATGTTAATTTATGTGTTTTGTACTGTGTCTTTTATAACTGTCTTCATTTATAAATCTTTTGCCTTGTTTGGCTTATCAGCATAAATTGTTCTTACAATCCTTAATTTTACTTTTAACTTCTTAACACATTTTTGTGTAGTCTGTGAAATCATGAGAAAACCATTGTTTAAGTCTCAGTTGAGATGTTAGTTGTCTGTCTTCCTGACATTTCAGCTTTTTGTTCTAATAAGTGACATCATAGATATGTAAGAGCCAAGTTCTGCTATAATTTACATATGTCATAGTGTAATTTACTATGTGTAAGTTTAAGTATTTAAGTTGTAGATCAAACCGTACAGTAATTGTAGACATGTCACTTTTAATCTGTACATAATTTACCTAATATGAGCTACCAAATTCATTCTTCATTCATACTGTGTGGATCTTTTACTGTATGTGTATGAAGTTATGATGCTCCATTGATGAGCGCTGAACGTCATTTCACCATTTTATACTTGACTTTATTTTATTGTTTGAAGTGAATGAATTGAAACTGTTGGTGTGTGATAGGTGTTACTCAACTCAATTATGCACAAATCCTAACTTTCCAAGCTTTTGGAAAAATTTTCTATTCCTTTTTTTTACCATGGAGAAGTGATATAACGTCATCTTTTATTAAATCTTTTGCCTCCTTGTGCTTGGTAACTTTCCCCCTTTTTAAAAAAAATTTATTGATTGTGATAAATAGTTGTGCTTAGTGAATCAGTTATGATTTTCAATCAAGAAGTCATTGAAATGACAAAAAGAGTTCTGTCCTTTGTAACCAATTTTCTACTGTAGAACCATAAATCTTATGCAATTTTTAGCAAGACTTCAGTATTTACGATTATGATATCATAATCTGTTATCAACAGCAGCCAAATAAGTTATTCTCTGCAATGATGCCTGACATGATAAATCTGAATTGCTCCCGTGGTGCTCTAACCAATTCTATGCAGACTGATATAATACATATTCCATTAGGGGCTATGCAGCCTGCCAGGAAATGTTCATGAACATTTGTTTGTGTCAAATCAATGTTTACGTGATGGTTGTTGATGAAGTCTTTTGCATGCGTCAACAATTTGTCCAAGTTCAAATTTTGAATATTTGTAAGGGTTTTTCCGCAATTTTTGATTGTCTTGACTTCCAAGACATTTCTCACTGCCAGTTCTATTCTAAATTAAAACTTCCAATAAATTTTAAACTTTTGTTTCGGCTGATTGTTTTCTTAAGAATGGTTTCTGTATTTTAGTAACTCAAAGCCTTTGGCTCTGAATGCTCTGAAGAAACCCTGTACATCTGCTGTGCTCAAATATTTGTGTGGTGTATGTTTACCAAGAACAACCACCTCCGTATTGATGGTTCTGTGATTACAATTTCTCTTAAAAGCAATTTGAACCAAATCCATCCTGAATTCACTGCCACCTTTCTAATTCAAAGACATAGCTAGCAATAATGCACATGTGTGGCCCAATTTTCAATTTTCATCCTTCATCTTTTTTATGTCTCACTTTCCCATGATTTACACTCTCATAAAGTAGGTTTTTGATGACATTTTGGTCACAATGATAAATATTTCAAATGAAACCTTATATCAAAGTGCTTTTGGAACAATTTTAAAGCATCATAGTTAAATTATCCTGTCAGTTTTATCGTGTTCCAATTGGCAAACTGAATGATCACAGGTATTATTAGAAGCACTCGTACATACTGCCTGTATGTCCTCCATTCAGCTTTACAATTTTGCACTTGGTAGATAGTTCTGATTCATCAAGTTAGTTTGGTTAAGTTTTGTGTGATATCTGTTCTCAGGTGTTAACATCATTCATCTCATGAAAAAATTATACAAACTCACATTTCTTTGTACCAAATGAAAAGAAATTTCCTTGGTGATCAGTAGGAGCGCAGTGCTATAAAATGCTACCTTTATTGGGTGATAGTTTGAACATTACATAGTATCACTTAATTCTTTGTGTTTGCCCTCTGTATGTCATGTGAATTCGTGTCCATTTTTCTGTGTACATTGGTTCAATACATTGGATAGAAAAAAAAAAAGTCAAACCAAAAGTTGCTTTATTTACTCTGTAAGTTCATGATACTCTCCCAGTAGAAACCATCAACATATTTTTGAGTTCGACACTGAATGAAAACAAGTAAATGCTTTCATGCTGAAACAGGAGTGTTGATGCTGGTCTGGAACGGTCTGGAAACGACATGGCTGGCTGGACCAACCTGGACCTTCTGTTATCAGCAATAACATCGTGCCGCCTTCGGGTTCGGCTTGCTTCGGCCCTCTGCTTCGGCAGCACTCGGCAGCCCTTCGGGCCTTCCCCGTCTGCGACTTGGGCATTGTTGCGCGGCGCGTTGTGATCTGGCTGGCTCCAGTTGGCACTCTCAATTGCAAATTAACGAGCTTTTATTTAAGGCCACATTCTAGAGGCATCTGCAAACCACAGGTGAAGTTGTTTTCACTTGTGGTACGTGGGCGATTTGCCCCAAGCTCATCGCCCATACAGTGTCCGTCTCGTTGGCAGTGAGTACCGTGAGTACCGGCGGTGGTTGGTGATGTAGCTGGTGTAGATTCTCGCCAGACCTTCAGTCACACCACGTTGCGCCTCACATTGGAAGCACAGCTTCCTCGCGGCGTTATTTCTGCCCACTCTTTTCTGGTTCAAACGCGAAAGTTGAGCGCACGTTCGCGCCATTTCACCGTAGAGCCCAAACAAGCCATCGAGTGCTGCGCTCTGTCGGCCACCGCAGCAGACGCACTTTGACCAGTGTGACCACACTGCGTCACGAGACGCAATGCAAACATTCTCCTGAAGGAACGCACTCTCAAGCCGATCAGAGAGCAAATGGCGTCATCATCGGATGAATTGCGTCGATTCGTGTCAAGAAAATCATGAATTAATGCCATTTGCAGCGACAGTTTTGCCGTAATTATGTTATTAAACCCTATCAGTAAGTATAGTGCAGCATTGTGCATAATTTTTTGTGCAAGATTTGGACCGAAAGGGCTTCATTTGTTGATAAAGCCAAGACTCCTCTCAGATTTTACAGTTAATCTTTCCCTTTTAGAAACATACATAAATGTTCGAATTCGATCCTAACTGTCCTAAATCAACCACTTGTTCAAACAATAAACCATTCGCTGAAAATCATTGAGTATTTCAGTTAGTCTTATGTTATTGTTAACTCATTGTCTGCTGCATGTGTTGGCAAACAAACTATTGTCAAACATCATCATTTTGTCGCCTTATTTTCTGTTACAGTAGACTGTTCACGGTTTTATTTCTGTCAGACCACTTTCAATCAATTTTTTTCTACGAGTCTTTCATTCAAGTTTGTTAGACTTTGTTTAATCTACTATTAATATTATTTTGGTCTGCAACTCATTTTGTATGGTCTTTTCGTTATTCCTATGTGAGAAACTAGTTGAAAATGCATTCACTTTTCTTAAAACACCACCAAAAAATTATTTGCTCTGTACTATCAAAATTTATTTAGAGTGATATGTTAAGCAAATTTTGATCTTTCCTACCATTGAAGGTTGATTTATCTGTCATTCTTGTTTGATAAATCTAGTCTCTTGCTCCCATCTTTCTAAAAAATTCCTGTCATCTGTTTCAGTTGCCTTTGTGTGAAGTTTTCCTTAAAAGCCAGGATTGACGTAATTCAACGGGAGCGGCATTTGCCGCCTGTAATCAACATGAATGAAGTGAAGCCAGAGTTGGCCACAACAATGGCGACCACTTCTACATGGGATGCATTGCATCAATCTGCTCCCCTTGCCCATCCTGTCCATGCTGCACCGATGCCTCATCCTCATCCGATGCATACTATGCCTCATGATGCGCCGCAACCCGCCATGGGTCTGCCTCTGCCGCCAAGCATGGCTGTACACATGCCAATGAAAATGCCGGAGAGTCCAGCGGTTGTGCCAATGTCAGCAGTAAGTCTTCAAATATAATTTTTTTCTGCTCTCTTTCATTAAAAAAAAAAAAAAAAAAAGAGGTGAAAAGTTTTTAATTTTTCTACAAATTTGTCTACAAATTTTCTGCTTTGCTTTAGAATACGCCCATGCAACTTCCTATGGAACTAGTTCAGCAAGGTTGGGACAGATGTTGGAGCAAAAGAGAAAATAGGCCGTACTTTTTTAATAGAAATACTAATGAATCGATGTGGGAGATGCCTATGCCCAAACAGCATCAAGTAAGTTGACACAAATAATTGCACACGAATTCTTTCCTCTACAGCGTCTGTTTCATTGTCTTCCTTTCTTGTTTAAGTTCGATCCTATCACTGATCCTCTGGGAATCTGTGGGCCTCCCACAAATGGCCCCAACCATAATATGGGTCTGAAAAGAAGGTCATCGGAAGAGGGAGTTGGTGCGCCACCTACCAAAAAGATAATGATTTTACCGTGAGTGTATATTTTGCAATAAAATTTTTGGTAGCGATTATATGCATTTGGCTTCAATTGTCTGTTTTCTTGTTTGCAGTGGTCCTTGGGACCTTGAGGTTCCTACAAATGTTGTTATTTACGAAAGACAATTATCAACATTATTTCATTCTCATCCTGAGATTGAAGCATATCGCTGCAGTTTTTTAATGAAGTTGAGGCAATGTTACCAGGAACTTTGTCACTCTCGAGAATGTAAGTACTTAAAATCCATTCTTTGTTGGTTGTTGACGGCTTCATACCTACTTAAATCTATGTTTTCATTTTATTAGCAATCGATGCACCCAAAGATTCATTCAACCGTTGGATTATGGAGCGGAAAGTTTTGGACACAGGAAGCGACCCCCTGTTGCCTTCCCACTGTTTTCCAGAGATCTCAATGTGTATGTACAAGGAAATAATGAATGACATTCCCCTCAAGTTAGTAAGGCCGAAGTTTACTGGTGATGCTCGTAAACAATTATCAAGATATGCCGAAGCAGCCAAGAAAATGATAGATCGAAATCCATCAGCTGAAAGTAGAAAAATTGTTAAATGGCAAGCTGAAGACACTTTTCAGTGGTTAAGGAGAACAGTGGGTGCTACGTATGAAGATTTTCAGGAAAGGTTGAATCACCTTAAAAGACAATGCCAGCCCCATCTTGCTGAAGCAGTAAAAGGATCTGTTGAAGGGATTTGTCAGAAAATTTATAATTTATCTGCTGAATATGCTAAGAAAGTGAAGGAAAAACACAGAGACTTGTTAAGGGAACAAGGCATTCAAGGTATATTTTAAGCGCCCCACTGGAACATTGGTTGGTAGTACATGATTGTCACCATTTTAATTAATGGCATATCTTTTGCTTTTTTTTGTTCCAGTTGTTGCACCTGTACAAATGCCCAATTTGAGGAAGGTGCTTTGTTATGCTGTGCAATTTTCAGTAAACTGTCCAAGGCTTCCCCATATTGATTATCTGCCCGAAAGAGAGCAAACTATGTTGCGCTTTCAAGGTGATACTGTCACTATCAACCACACACATTTGCAAAAACTGGTTAGTTATATTTTGGTTGGATTTGTTGTTTCAATTAATTTTTTTTTACTTAATATAAATATTATATCTTTCTCAATTTTTATTTTAGGAGCAGTTGTATAGATATAATTGCTTTGATGACAAGAAATTTGAAATGTTTTTGCCCCGAGTTTGGAGTCTCCTGAAGAGATACAATACATTCCTTGGCTACACTGCTCCCTCCTCAAGTAGTTCCTCAAACTCGTCAAGCTCCAGTAATGGAGCCTATGAAGGCCAAGCTACCCAAGGAGCTCTTCCCATCACTGTTATGGAATCCCTACACCGCACGTTTCATGTGACATTCGAATGTTTTGCGTCTCCTCTCAACTGCTATTTCCGTCAGTACTGTTCAGCATTTGCTGACACTGATACTTACTTTGGGTCAAGAGGGTGAGTCTTTTACTTTCATCTTGTTACTCAGATCCTTGTTTCTATATTACGGCTGGAACTTGCCCACCAATAATTCAAATACTTTTTCAGACCTTTCCTAGATTTCAAACCTGTTAGTGGATCATTTGCTGCCAACCCTCCCTTCAGTGAAGAATTGATGGAGGCTATGGTGAACCACATGGAGAGAGTGCTGTCAGATTCTGCAGAACCGTTGTCATTCGTTGTTTTCATTCCGGATTGGCGAGATCCTGCCCCCAATGCTCTTTTAAAGCTGGAGGCCAGCCATTTTAAGAGAAAACAGGTGGTTGTGCCAGGTTCTGAGCATGAGTACCGCCATGGTTATCAACACTTAGTTCCAAAGTATGTACATCCTCACAGGTGACTATGTTTTAGATTGCAGAAATTCAGCTTAACCTTTCTTTTCAACACAGGAGTGAGCTGAACATCAAATGTCCTCATGGTACTATGGTGGTGTGGCTTCAAAACGCTGCTGGCTTCCAGCAATGGGGCCCCTCCGAAGAAAGAGTAGAAGCACTCCTTGAAGCTTTTAGGCCTGGGAGAGAGCGTGAAAGAGACAGACAAGAGTTGCTCTCTCCTCACAGAGCAGCATCCGAAAATGCACCTGCTCAGTTAGCTCCTGCTGCACTAAACCCTCACACTCCTCCTGAAAAAGCACCAATAGAATCACCAGTCTGACAAAGGAGTCAAGACTCCCCTGCGGAGGGGAGTCACTTTTCCAATCAGCAGTCAGACAACCCGAAGCGCGAAACAACAGAGACCCCAGACTCTTTGGCAAATGAATGCCCCGAATCGGACGAGGTTGATGTCAACAAGTCAACTGCTATGTGCTCTAACACTGTATCTGAAAAGCAAGAGGACCAAAACATTGAAGTGTGAAAAACAAAATTCTTGTTTTTAAATAGATTATTTTTAAACAGTCTGTTACTGTTATTGCTTGAGCAAGGGAATGAAAAATTATATTGTTAATCTTTGTTCATTGCTTTCTGAAATCTATTTCTATAGTACCCAGCATACTTGAAGTGTCAGATTGACCTGATCCATGATGTTGCACTATGAAATATTTGCAAGGTAATCTTAGTTGTATGATGAATGTCAATAATGTAGGTTGAGAGTGTGTTACCTTCAGAAATATTTCAAGTGTATTTTCAAGGGAATGTGAATCTTAATTACTTTAATTGAAGACAACCTTAATGTAGAGCTTTTAGTTTATATCCAAGGATGTATGAATCTTTCCTCTTCTATTTCCCTAAACAGATTTTAAAATTAGAACGGTTACTTGATTTTGGAGCTTGTTACCAGTCCCTAGACCTATACAAGTTTTGTTTTTAACTTTTGGACTATTTTTACGTTCTCTATGTAATCAGTCATTTCCCTGTACTTGTTATATGTTGGTTGTATCCTCATAACATTGCAGTAGTTTGAAGTATATTCTTAAGTGATATTGTTTGATATATTTCTATTGGTATGTTATAAATGGTGTAAATCACTTGAATGTTACAGGGACTCAAGTTATGTGGTATACATAGTTGTGTATATGCAGCTTACAACAGTGTATCAATTTTTGTTTTTTAAATGGGTGTGCTGTGATTTGGCAAAAGCCGTGTACAGTATTTTATAATGTTGAGCCACACATAAATGTTTTAGCTTTAGGCCAACTGAGCACTGTAGTGCTGTACTCAAATTGAGTAGGTAGCACAGTAGGCTTATTACCAGAACTCTAAATTAGGATGTAACTTTGGCTCTGAATTTATTTGCTATTTATTGTAACTTTAGAAACTTTTTGGTGCTTGTCTCCATCAATCAACTAAGGCATCTCTCATATTTAATTTTTGGTTGATGTAATCATGAAATTGTGCAGGTCTCTTTCTCGCACTTTCATTGTCTCTTGTCTTCTCATTCAGTGACAAAATTCTGTATATACTGTATATTTAGAGTTTTATTGAGACAGAATTTTATCATCTCTGCAGAGAAATTTATGAAGTATTTATTTGAGCCATTGTCTTACAGTGATTTTTAATTTTGGGAGCTGGTGATGGCTGGTTTTGTTGTACTGTGAAAACCAGAAAAAAAAAAAGTCCAGAAGACATTTAACTTAAAATATTTTATTTTCAAAATCCCTATTACATGCTTTTCTGGTCATGAATTAAAATGTAGTTTGTAATTAATGATTTAAAATTACTACTGTGTTTACTTGAATTCAATAGGCACATTTTGAGTTTTCTGTTCTGTGATATCTCATATTTTGCATTTCAGTCAAGAGTTTAGGTTGCATTCTGTACTTCTTTGTTATTTTGACAAAATACTTAACCATTGTGATGTGTCATGGAATTTAAGTAAATGCAGTACACCACTAAGACTGGATTACATTTTAAACATGATTAACTTTTTCATTTGAGTTTTATGTGCCATATTTGAAAATGTCCTGATGCAGTTTCTCTTGAACTGCACCGCTCTCCAGGCTCTAAAATTCTTTTGGTGACAATTTACTCTTTATTTTGATTGTCCTGTCTTTTAGTTTTCATGTTTTCCCCTTTCTTCATCCTGCTCTCTCTTTTCATGAAGTCCTTTTTATTCTTCTTTGTGGCATTAAGCAAGTTAGATTTGTAAATAGACTTGTGGAGACAAAAAAAAAAGTGTTTTAAAATAGCCCTTTTGCTAGCTTTGAACACCAATAATGCTGGTTGCAATGATAAGATAGATTTTGTTCACTTCCTGAGGGATTTAACATCACACAATTCTGGCCAACTCTAGAAATTCCCATAGTTTCCTAATCTCAAACATTGTGGCTGATGTCAACTAAGTGATCACAGTGTAGCTCAGGGCTCAAGCATTGACATTGGTTATCAATTTTTAAATTGATCCTATAAGCATTGAAGTACTGAATATGTTTTTATAACTTCCTGTTTGTTTTGAGTCGAGGTGGCTTTGCTGATGCACCACACCTTTCATTTATTTATTTCTGGATCAATATCATGTGTCTCTCAATCTGCTTTCTCTTTTCTCTTCATCTAAGGAAGCTGAATTTCAGACTTTCTGTTCATTGGCACTTGCATTATTGTCTTTCCCACTCTTTCATTGGGTCATAATTGCTCCATGTTTGTTGTACCTGAATTATAAATGCATTGAACATCAACTTGTTTTTGTTTCAAAACAAAACTGCATTTACTGAGTAATTCTTTTGAATGTTTTATTTACTAATGTCATAGCCTGTAAATATTGATACCTTACACATGTACAAAGATGTTCAAAAACTAAAATTATCAAAAGTAAATTTTGAAAATGGTTCTAGTTGAAGTTTTATTTTTCCACCCCATTGCACCTTATCTTGTGTTTGCTTGTCCACACGCATACATTGTCTTCACTCCAAGGAACTGAGAGGAGGAAATGGATTTTGTTTGCTGACCACAAGCTTCTGATGCTGATGTGAGATGTAGCCCTTGATTTTGCCTTCGTAGATTAGGTTGGCAACAATACACTGTGTTTCAGCTAAGTCTATGTCTTCTATATCCATCATTCGCAGGGCGCAAAGAAGAGCATCCATAGGGATTTGATGTGTCCTCAAAAGCAGGTAACTAAAATGGAAATTAACTTATTATAAATTTGTAACATAGTAAGTAAGAAGGACATAGGTTTGAGGTAGGGAAACTTACACTTTCTTAAACAAGTTGCGGTATGCAATAACTTTCAATTTCTCTAAGAGAAGGTAAATACCACATTGCACAAAAAACTTCTGGTGGTGCTGCATTGCGACATTCAAACGTCTTACATCCCCTGATTGTACTCCTTGAACTAAGTCCCAAAATTGAAGGAGGTCATACTTTTCAAGAAGATTTCTCTGTGGCATGTATCCCTGTTAAATAATAATAAACATCAGGTAAATTTACATTAGAAAAGGAGCATGTGTAAATTAAAAGGGTTCAAGAATACACATACCAAGATCATTTTTATGGGCACCAAATAGATGAGAATAAGTCTCTTGTTTCTCTTTGATTGTTTATGACATCTTTCAAATGCATAAGTGAGATAGTCACCAGCTAGCAAAGAAAAAAAGCTTTGGTACTGGAGTAATTACAGGTCATAAACACACAAAATCAGACAGTATCACATTTACCTGACTTGTAATTGCTGTCAAACATAGCTTTACGGCCCACATAGTATCTGTATGTTACTTGCTGGCTGACAGGAAAACGGTCTTTAAGTGGAGAGGAATCTATCGCTCTGATGAGGGGCTTACAAAGATTTAATTTGTTGATTCCAAAATAAACCTTGAATAGTTGGTTGACCAAGGACATCATGCCCCACTTCTTGGTGTCTTCATTAGAAGCTCGGCTTTAGGATATACAAAGTGCAGTAGATACTTCAACTATAAAATAATTCCAAACAAAATTCATGAAACTTACTTATCAGCTGCACAAACTCTGAAACATGCCATCAAGCATTCTGCAGCTTTCTCTAAAGCTTCTATGGATTTTCCAAATCCTTTTGACGAGTTGTGTTTGTCAGCTTGAATGGCCAACAATCTCAGATCAAGGCATACAGTGAACATAGCTTTCAGCAACCAATTGTCATCTCGACATGATTGCAACATGCGGGCAAAGGTGAGAACCAAAGCTGATTGACAACGGTAAGCTTCAGCATAGTCAGGTACATTTAAAGCCCAAATCACTCTGCAGAAAAAAAGAGGTATGGTTAACTTGTACCAAAGAAAATAAATTGGGTGTTGTAGAATAGCTGACCTTAGGTGAGCTACAACCACTTCATCTAGTGGCGACAGACGAAGCCTTTCAACTTCCCTTGTTCCTGCTGGAATTTGAAGCTTTGAACTTAATGCATGGGCATGCCGTAAGGACAGTACATTCTAAATAAAAAAAATCATGTCAATCAACGAGACCAAAAAAATAAAGAGATATCGGAAAGTTACTTTGTTCAAACACCTACAGACAACTTGACATTATTTCTGCTGTTCCAGGCATTAGAGACCTAAAAAAAAAAAAAAATTATGCAGAAATATTTGCAATAAACGCCGTAGTGTGTAAATTATTCATTATCAAACCATGTATCACAAGTAATCATAACCTGTCAACCACAAGATATTTTGCTAAGGGATAACAAAGTAAGTTTAATGACAGGTGGTTTATTTGAATTTTAAGATTACCTCATCGAGATATTGGTTAATTGTAAAATGGGCCATTTAAACAGTGGATCAGTAGATCATAACAACACTTGCTACCACTGTTGTTTTCACTGAACTTTTTTTGAACAGACCGGTGCGCTTGAGTGGGTATGCTCCAGTGTGAGCTGTACTAGAACCCAATCTTCAAAACGACCAGTGTCGACCTACCTTCCTTCCAAGGCTGTGGCATGGGCATGGCTCATGGCTCGGTCTATTGAACACACCTTTAAATCAAACAAATGATTTGACTATCAAGGATCAAAGAACGTCGCATTTTGATGCATTGTAACATGTTAAATAAATTTTGGTAGAAATCAAGATGGACCTGTGTCTTTTTGTGATCTGCCGCTGAAAATGAAGTACAGAATGCCACCTTTCAGACGCAAGAAGTCTCTCAAATCTTTTCCGGTCAAAGTTTGTACTTTAGATGCAGAACTTGAATTTGATTTGGAGGTTAGTTGATTATTTTACTTAGTTTACCCAATGTTATTGTCATTTTTATTGTAGGATCAACAAATGTTGTTCATTAGTTTAGTGTCTATGTTAGACCTTTATGACGAGCGATTTCGTAGTAGCTCTTAAAGTTCTGTTTTTTAAGTTTTGGAAATTGTCCTGCAGTGAATGTTTCTTTACATTATTTACTGCTTGTTTTTTATTCCTGTACTTTTGTATTAGAAATTATTTGTCTAATTATATAACTTCGTGCTTAAATATTTAGCGTAGCAGTAATATTTTCGAGTCTGTGATGATTATATGGATCATGTTGTTGCACGATGTTGTTTGCATTTTAAATGTTGCATGTAGGTATGCTAAATTATGTTTTGTACTTACATTCATTTTTTGGCTTTCTAGTGGCATGCAACGGGAAGAGATTTGTTTGATTTAGTATGCCGAACAATTGGCTTGAGAGAAACTTGGTACTTTGGCCTCCAGTACGAAGATTCCAAGGGATTTATCAGCTGGCTCAAACTGGACAAAAAGGGTGAGGTGGCTGAGGCTGGTAGAGCTTTCATCAATTTTTATGGATTTCAGTAATGGCTGGATGGTTGATTTTGCTTCAATTGATTTGATTTTAGTTAAGACCTCTGTTTTCATTTCTTTACAATGCCTTAATATTTTTGTTTTATTTTTCAGTGCAAGACCAAGGCATTAATCCCAGCAATCAACCTGCCACACCCTTTATGTTCCTTGGAAAACTCTACCCTGAGGATGTTGCTGAAGAACTTGTTCAAGAAGTCACCCAGCACCTCTTTTTTCTTCAAGTCAAGCAGGCCATTTTGTCTATGGACATATATTGCCCTCCAGAGGCTTCTGTTCTTTTGGCATCGTATGCTGTTCAAGCTAAGGTGTGTATCTATGTGTATGTATGTGCTAGTTTACCTTAACAAATAATCATTTTAAATTAATGGCCACATTAATGAATGTTGTCAGTACGGTGATCATGATGAACTCACCTACAAACCAGGAACTTTGTCAAAAGACAATTTACTTCCCCAAAGAGTTATTGATCAATATCAGATGACACAAGACATGTGGGAAGAGAGAATTAAAGTTTGGTATGCTGACCACAGAGGGATGTCCCGAGATGAAGCAGAAATGGAGTATCTAAAAATTGCTCAGGATTTGGATATGTATGGAGTAAATTACTTCCCTATTACAGTAAGCTATTGTACCTAACATTTTATGGTATTTTAACTTATTATCCGTGATTATATGTACTAGCCTACTCACTCAAAACCTTTTGAATGCAGAATAAAAAAGACACCGAACTTTGGTTGGGGGTGACTGCTTTGGGACTGAATATATATGAAAAAGAAAATAAATTAACTCCTAAAACAACTTTTACATGGTCTGAAATAAGACACATTTCTTTTGATGATAAAAAATTTGTGATAAAACCTGTTGAAAAGTCATCCCCTAACTTCATATTCCTGTCGCAGAAAGCTCGTATGAACAAATTGGTAAGTCTTATTGCTCTCCTTTATTTTGCTTATTATGTTGAGGGCAACTAATCATATTCCATTTGATTCTGTAGATACTAGACCTTTGCATTGGAAACCATGATTTATTTATGAGAAGAAGAAAGCCAGATACGATGGAAGTTCAGCAAATGAAAGCTCAAGCAAAGGAAGAGAAATCAAGGTGAAGCAGACATTACCATTTTTAAATCTCTTAACTATAGCTTGCATTTACAGTATAAGTCTTTCTAGAAGACTGATATGGAGTAACTGTTATTTCTTGTTTCATGATTTTTCTTCTGTATATTTGCAGAAGACAAGTTGAACGTAATAAACTAGCCCGTGAGAAACAATTACGTGAAGCAGCTGAAAGAGAAAAGGCTGTAATGGAACAGAAATTATTGCAGTACCAAGAAGAGATGCGACTAGCCAACGAGGCTCTTGTATGCAGCATTTACATCCCCACTAGAAATACAGTGCTCTGTTTCGTGTTACTAACTTTGAATTGTTTCCTTTTTATTTTCAGAGGCGTTCAGAACAAACTGCAGATCTCCTGGCAGAAAAGTCTCGCGTGGCTGAAGAGGAGGCAATGTTACTCAGCCAGAAAGCAGCTAAAGCAGAACAGGAAATTAACCGCATAAGAGTAACAGCCATGAAAGTACGTATCTTTATCTCATCATTTCTTTGTATTCAGGTCCAATTATGTTTAGTACAAAGTATAAAGGTGTGAAAAAAAAAATTTCAGACAGAGGAGGAAAAGGTTCATTTAGAAAGGAAGACTCAAGAAGCTGAACGTTTGACTGCAAGACTTGTAGATGAATCAGAAAGGCGTGCTGCAGAGGCAGACCGTTTAAAAGATGAGTTACTTAAAGCACGCATAGCGGAAAAACAGGCCAAAGAGAAACTGTTACAATTCTTATCCCGCACAGCAAGTCCGTCCCCTTCTGCCCTCCAACAAGTACCTCATCCCACTCATTCTCCTACTCCACTGGTAAGCACTCTAGTGAGGAAACTTTCTACTTTTTCTACTTATTATCTTTTGTCTGGTACTGCACCTCATTGTTAGCAAAGATGTGCATGATCAGTAGATGAACTTGACTAAGGTGTTTGGTTGCGTTTGGGTTCATGCCAGCAGCAATACGATGCTGGCAGTGGCATTGGTGGAGGGATGTCGCAGTCACAGTCCCTGTCACAACTCTCTCAGCTATCCCAGCTGTCTCAACTCTCTCAGCCCATGAGTGGACTGGGCCTGGCTCCTGGGCTCTCTCCAGGGATCTCTCCTGGTTTGTCCCCGGGACTCTCCCCTGCATTGTCACCTGGACTCTCCCCGGGGCTCTGCTCAGGCCTCTCACCAGGGTTGTCACAAGGACTATCGCAAGGATTAACGCCCCAGCTGGCTGCGGACCTTCAGGCCTTGCAGCTTGGAGAGCCTTGTGTGGGAGACATGTGTGGCGGTGTGCCTGGGGACATGCCCGGATCTGAGATGCCCTCTGAGCTTCCAGCCTACGACCTGGCAGCTGATCAAGACATGGAACAGCTCTCACTCGAGATTGAAAAGGAGAGGTGGGCTCAGATTAACACGTATTTTCAACTTCAGTTTTGCATGTCCATTTTCTTGTTATTTACTCTTGATGATTGAACTCATCAGAGAGTATTCCAAGGATGATGTTAAGATTGTCCATATAGTTAACCTTAGCTAAGCTAAAAGCCATCCTAAGATTTTTTATCTACCTATCTGTTTAATCTGCATGCCTTTCCTCATCTTCATGTAGCTAATCTTTGTAGGGTATTGAATCTTCTCCTTTCAAGCCATATTTATCTTCAAATTTCCAATTCAAACAGTTTTGTCTTAATTTTTTTTTAAATCCAAAATTTCAAGTTGTAACAGCAGTACAGTAAAATGATTCTCGTATAGATTGTGTAGGATGACGCCACCTGCATAATATTAGTTCATCCATTTGATTGGAAAACTTCTGCAAATATTACATTTTAAGTGGTCTCCAAAAACCATTTTCATTTGCAGAGTGGACTATTTGGAGAAAAGCAAACATTTGCAGAACCAACTACGGGAACTTCGATGCGAGATCGAAGTTCTCAAGGTCGGAGAGAAACAGAGTCAGATGGATGCTCTCCACCAGGAGCAACTGCGGCTTGGAGAGAACAAGTATTCCACTCTACGCAAGGTACTAGTGCTTCCAAAAATTTTTGCATTTCTGCCTTTCTTTTTCTCTTTCTCTCTCTTGATGTAGTTGTAATCTATCTGGATTTGTTCTAGGTGAAATCAGGATCAACCAAAGCACGAGTGGCTTTCTTCGAGGAGCTGTAAGAGTACCTCAATATGTTAACAACTGAAACATCCTGTCATTGTGCACCATACCTATTCATCCTTGATACAAAGTTTGTGTTCCTTCCTCCTGGTTCTCATCCAAAGTGATATGGATGGTTCATTACTCAAATCATTGTTTGTATTCATTTTTATCAACATCATTTCATTTGTACTTCCATTTTAACAAGGAAACCTTTTTTTTCTCTTTTTAAATTGGTGACTGCTGGTCCAGTTACCTGGTTTATGTAAGGCATCCCTTTGAATCTAAGCACAAGTGCCTTTTGTTCTATTTTTAATGTAGGTATATGAGGTGAGTAAGAAGACTGATTACTTGCTTTTAGAGGCTCTGTTATTGGATTTTTAACTACAAGTTAGTGTAATTTTCTTGCATTGTGCTGTGTCATTTTACTCTCTGCTGTCATCCAATAATGTGTCACTGTTTGATTGGTCATTTTATCATTGTAGACATCATCCTCAGCATAAATTAACTCTATATTTGCAACATTTATTATTTTATCAAATCTTTGTATTTATGTAATGATGTACATAAGAACATGTTGTTAATTCTTCATCTTTAGTGTCATTTTTATAGTCAAGAAATTGTTTGTGCCAAATTATTTTTTATTGTAATTTTTCTGATGATAAACCTCGGAGCAATAGATGCTCCAAAGCCCGGGGTGGAAGCTTAACATTTAATTAAGTCTGCTGCTATGTCACTTTTTGAGTGCTTTGTCCATATCTGTAATTTATTATTTAATTAGTATGAAGTTGTCAGTTCCAATTTCACCTCCAATGCTTTTTACTATGTATCTGTTCATGACAAAAAGACCTCAATCGCCCTCTGATTGCGACGGAAGCCTCATGAATTTTTGTAGACTGGACAGTTGCGGCCGGTGCTCGGTGGATTTCAGATGTGGCGGGTAAAACTAGCAAATGAAGGAAGTCAATTAGAAAAAAAGGGGGGGGGCGGAGTACTTCTGGAATGGTCTAGGCCATCAGACCGCCTAGGCTGGCAACATGAAAGGTGCATAGGCACCGGCATCGGGCAATGTCGTGGCCTCAGACATGGTAAAGTAAAGGGGCCTTTGGTAGCACAGTGTATTGTCAGAGGGAAGTCAGAAAACATGTACCTTTTATTTGACTTTCAACATTTGACGGTTTTACCCAGCAAGTAATTATCTGTCGCCTCGCGCCGGCGATAGATTCGCCGGCAACGGTGTTTCGCCATAACAAATCGATATTATCATTCTTATTTATTAGTTAAGCATCACTTCACAAGTCATTTCATGCGAGAGCTAATACAGTTTCATTTCCTTTTTCTTCTTAGTTGTTTGATAATTTGTGCAAATGACTATGATCGCTCAATTTCACCATAGTATGCTTGGGCTTGTGGCTGAGCTAAATTTGGCTAAGTTTTAGCGTTCCTACTATTTCTCAGTGTAGCTATGATTGTAAGTTGTATTTTTTTAAGTTTTACTGTTTTAAAAAAATAATTTTTTGTGGACCTATGTAGTAAAACTGAATCTCAAAATTCTTTATCATGTTCAGTTTTATGACTTTAATCATGCTTTAATTTTGTGATATGAAATTTGAATGCAGGATTTTTTAAAACAGTAACAATGTACAACAATCAAATGACAATATTTTCATAATACAGTAGATAAAATTGGAAACAAGAAACATTTCTATCTTGATTTTATTGGTTACAAGTATTATTGTGTGAACAATGAAGACATAGACCGCTTAGTTTGAGCCACTTTCCTATTTCTCAGTCCTCAGTCAATAACGCAAATGTGCCTTTTTGACTTTGTTGTCAGTCTTTAAACGGAGCGGTTGTAATTAAAAATTTTAGAGTTTAGAAGAAAAATATCTTTAACAAGTCATTGGTTGTATTGGATAAAGTCTTACCTCTCTAAGCTTTTGGTTGACTTGTTCTTTAGTTAGGTGAGGTCAGGGAGAGCAACTCTGGTTGTTTGGAAACAATAGTTGCTACGTCATTGAACTTTTAATCTTTTTTTATTTTTGCTGGAAAACACTATGTGCTTGCACCAAAATCAGAATGCTTCCCCTGTACTGTTCACCAAACTTAACAATTCCACCATGGCTATTTTACAGAGGCGCTCACAAGAAAAGAAAAACTGTTACCAAAGCTGCAAACTCAGAAGTAATTAGTACTCTATTCAAATGCCAACAATTCTTCAATTTCATGGCAGAGTCAGTTGCGGAGGGCAAAGTTAAGAACTTGATAGCACTTCACTAATTAATCTTGTTGTGTAGCATTCGTCCCTTTATGGTGCAGTAAACCAGAAACATGAAGATGTCAGTATTTCTTGAAGTTCGCAATTTGTCAACTAAGCAATAACTGATACTAAAACTTGAATTCCACAATGGCACCATCATGTAAGTTTCAAGTCTGTCATCCACTTTTGAGGAGTGGTGCTTTTTCAATTAAAATGTGATTGTTTTTACATTAAGGAGTTATTCCATTACAAATTTACAATATCCACTTCAAACAACAAACACTAGAATTATCACAGATATGTCGCACCTTTATCTGCATGTGCCGACGCACATAAGATACGTGCAACTTCTTCAGGTGTTGCCTCTTTCCGAATAGTACGACCCATGATTTGAGACAAGCGTGCAGCTAGAACATGCTTGCAAGTAATGTGAGTCTGGGATATGGCAACTTGATGAGCAAATGCAAGGCATGGGCAGAAGTTGATGTAAGGGAACAAGGTATAGAGTTCACCTTTACCCCCTGACACCTGTAGATGTAAACACTGTTTCAAACTAAAAATAATTGCATTCTAAACCAAAATGGTAAATATTTGCGACGAAAGTTACCTGCAATGCTTGTCGAGTGTCATTGGGAGTAGTCAACAAAGTAACACACTCTTTTTCAAGCATTTCAAGTGCGCGTTCTAAAGGTGGCCCAAACACTGCATGCAGAGCCAACAAGGATTCGTCGCTGACTGCAAAGAGAAAGAAAACACTGAAATATTAACAATGCTTGCTATCAATGATGATCAATAGGTTAATTACTTACTTTTCCCATCCTCATTGTATATACGCTCAATTTCACAGAAAAAATCATTTGTAACGAAGGGAATAACTGTTTTACGAACAGAATTTTGCATAATGCCTGCAGAGGTCTTAATCTCTCAGAAAATTTTGTCAAAGAGCAAACAATAACAAATAGCAGACGACTGTTTTGGCGCCGCTCTTGCCACCGGATAGGAACCAACCTGATAGCTGAAAATGTAGTGTTTGAAATTCTTAAACGCCGAATTGGTTGGAAATTGGTGCAAGTCGGAGGGTCCACTAAGCCTCTGAGAAAATATTCATGAGATTGATAACAAATTTGGTTCTGCGATAACTCGTTCCAAACGTTGAACTGTTACGTTGTAATGTTGTCGGTGTGGGGAGGCAACTACCGGAACCGGAAACGGTCCCTGAGAGGTTTGAACAGATAAACGATATAAACAGTGTTTTATGCAGTGTAGCCACCTACGCCGGTGCCCGATGAGGGGAAAGAGAGGGAAATTTCTGACGGCGAGTTTGTCGGAGAGGAGAGTGATGTTCTTGTTTGATGTTGTTGAGCTGCCACAGCGGAAAGGCCGGGAGACACCAGGGAAGTCCGCTCCATGGCCGGCGACGCGCACATCGCAGCCTCGCACACCGCGCAGTACACGCCGTGCGTGTGTGCGTGTGGGGATGGGGTGATGGGGGCTCCCGCTGCGCAGCCGCCGCCGCTGACCGCGTGGGTGTCCGTCCGTGCGGAGGTCCCCGTCGTCGGGGTGCCGGTCCCGGTGCCGGCCCCAGTGCCGGTCCCAGTGCCAGTCCGTATCGCCGGCAGTGTTAATGGTGCGCGACGCGGGTCCGCGTCAAGGCGCGCCCGGGGGCAGTCGGCCCGGGGCCGGCGACATGGGCGGCCCAGGCCTGCACCGGCTCGCCAAGCTCGCCGCCGTCGCCGTGCTTGCAGCAGGTACTGTGGCGGACGACGGCCTTATCATCCCGCTGTAAACACGGGGGTCATTCCGAACAGTCGCTGTGTCTCTCTCGCGCCTCTGCCTGCGGGACGCCCCGCGAGTGCGAGAGAGACAGAGCTAAGCACTACTTCGGAATGAGCCGAGCCGCTGACAGCCCCGTTTCGTCAAGGCGCGGTGCTGTGGGGCGTGGCGCCGGCGTCGGCGGAGATCTTCGACGAGCCGTGTTACGAGCTGGGCAAGCAGTGGGTGTACGAGGCCAAGGACATGCTGCTGTGCGACCGCAGCGGCCGGCGCATCAACATCAACAAGTTCTGCAAGGCTCGCCTCAGCGCAGGTGCGAATCGCCGAAGCGGGGGAAGGGGAAGAAGTGGGGGCAGTGGCGTGGGCAGTGGCGTAGGGTGTGGGGGTAGTGGTGAAGTGGGTTGGGGCTACAAGGACTCAAGGAGTCTAGCGTTGAAGGCCTTCCGCAGCGTCCGGCCGCCTCATCATCGACAGCTCCAAGGACGACGAGGCGGTGGAGACCAAGAAGCAGGTGGGCCACTTCCCCGAGCTGTGCCTCCCTGGGCAGCGCTCCTACGCCATGCAGGCCCCCTTCCTGTGCACCTGCGTCATGCACAAGGGCCGACACCGGTGGGAGTGCGTGGCCCCCGAGGGTGGCGCCGGCCGCGGTAGGTAGGAGCCCGATGTCTGCCCGAACTGCCCGGTCGCTCCGCCGACTCACGCTGCGGCCTGCGGTCCCGCTCGCGGTTCCAGGTCTGGGGGGCGAGTCCCCGAGCAGCAACCGGGTGCGGCGGCACGCATCCCCAGCGTCGCCAGCGTCCGCGGGGCCCGGCGACCGCGGCGACGCCGAGGAGCACAGCTCGACGCCTGGTACGCGCAGCACGCGCAGCATTGGCTGCTCCTCGTCGACGTACTGGGTCCATTTCAATCCTTGCTCGCATCCAGGACACGGCCGCAGCGCTGGTAAACCAGGATCGGCGGCCCCGGCCATGGCCTCGTCGGCGTCCACGACGTCCTCGGCCGAGGCCCACGACGACGCCCACGTCGCCCACGACGCCGGCGCGCACAACGGCAGCGCGGTCATGGGCAGGCAGGCCGCGCCGTTCAGGTAAGGGCGGCAAGGACGCGGCGGCGACAACAACAACAACAACAACAACATTCCAACCGAACGTGATTCGCTGTTAGGCCGAACATCGTGATCGACTTCTGCGACGAGTTCGGCTACGTGCACACCGTGTCCTCCACCATGAGGGACTGCTCGTGCGACAAGGACGTGATCGCCACCAAGGTGCTCAGCTTCAGGGACAACGACCTGTACCGTGAGTGCGACGAGAGGGGACTGGATTGCCGCGTGTCTCCGTCACTCTGCTGCAGTGCACTGCAGTGTGCCGCTGCGGCGCTGCGTGTCCGTGTTGCAGACAGCGGCGGGCTGTTCGCCACGTACGAGTGCCTGCCGGGGACCTACAACGTGCGCTGCGAGGTCTGCTACCCGGAAACACACAACTGCCAGCCCACGGCCTGCCCCTAGTGCCGTGGCGCCGTGGCGGGGGAACCTGGCCGAGACCTGGCCCGAGACCTGCCCAACGCCGCCCGCCAATAAAACAGAAATTCGACTCGACCAATGCCACTGAATGACGCGACTCTGTTCCGCCGCTGGCCCGCTGGCGCCGCGCCCATGGGCGGTTCGAGAGGGGGAAAGAGGCGGAGGGGCGTGTGCGTGTAGCGCCAGGCCTTCCCGCGATTTTTTTGCCCCAGGAACGTTTCAGGGACACCCGGGGGAGGGGGGGGGCGTCGTCCTCCCCCTCCCTTCCCCCATGCTGAGGCGAGGTGAGTCACAACAAGGGTGAGTCAGTTGCCTACCTCCGTAAGTTTGTCTACGAATCTTCTCCTCGACAGGTGCTGGCTGAGGGGAAGGAGGGGGGAAGGGGTTGAGGAAGAGGGGGTACCCACCACGTGTGACGGGGGCGCTGGCAGCGAGGCTGGCAGGGACGCTCTCTGGCCTGCTTCCAGGCGGCGCCGCTCCCAGCTGTCCCTGCAGGCTCACGCCGAAGGGTCGTTGTCGTTGCGTCACTCTCTCCATCTCTGTCGCGCCTACAGGGCGTTCTGTGAGGGGTGCGAGAGAGACAAAGCGACGGAACGCTTCTTCGGAATCGCTGGCCGGGGCTGAGACACGCTGAGAGCGCCTGCGAGCCGCGCGATGCAGTCCCGCACCGCAGCGCCGCGTGGCGGCACTGCCCACCTCGCAGGCGTTCCCCGCGGCCCGCGCCGGCATACGCCAGCACGCCAGCAAGCCAGCACGCCAGCCCGCGCTCCCACGCGCGGACTCTGCTGTCTCTGTCTCTCTCACTGGTTGTAGCTTGCCGCCGTCAACGCCAGCCAATGCCGTTCACTGAACAGCCTCTGGGCCGCGCCGCCGCCGCTTCGCGCTAAGCTCGCTCTAGGTGCAATTGCCAGCAGGCTCGTTCCGAACACCGCCTCTCGTCGCTCCGTCTCTCTCGCACCCCCAAGGGCCGTCCCGCGAGTGCGAGAGAGACGGAGTGACGACAGCACCGGCGGCATCCTCGTCGTGAGCTTGGCGGTCCACCTCGCACCCTCGCGTCAGTCGGCGTCGGGCGGGCGGGGCGAGGCTGGGCGAGGCGGAGCTGGCGAGGCGGCGGACGAAACAGCCAAGCGGCGAAGCGCAAGGTCTTTTGCGTCGCGAGGATCGCAGCCGCGGCGCCGAGGCCGAAGGCGCAAGGCGCCGAGCGCGGACCGAGTGAGTGAGCGAGTGAGTATACAATGTGGTCGACGGGAGACTCGCGACTCGGCGCAGCGGAACCGAGACGCGACCCGCGGTAGCTCAGTGCACGCATCAAGTTCATGTCTGGGGCGTCCCGAGTCTCGTGTCGCCCAGGTCGAGATTCCTCAGTGACGTCATCCTCCCTCCCCAGAATCGCTTGCCGAACTGACGCTCGCGAGCACTCCATGAGCGCCACTCGATGGAACCATTGAGATGTGACCTGGCTGTTTCGAAAGGTGAGCGGGGATTAATCTCGTTAGAAAGTGACATCCTGATAAGAGGCGCGAAGAACGCCCCTAATGAGAATGAATTGGCTATTTGACTCCCATCGTGTCGCAAGTGGCGTCTACCGCGGGTGAGGAAATGCACACGCGGCTCACGTCATGGACTCTCGAGTTCGACGGTGGCGTGGCGCCGAGGCGTCTGGCCGTGATAGCGACCTGCCAGGTCATGCGGCCAACAAGCGGATGGATATTTTGACTGGGAGCTCGTCGCGCTTTGGCAAGGAGGCAGGGCACGGCGCGCGCACCCCGCCTGCCCCCCCGCCAGAGTGTGCCTGCTCCGCCGCATGCTCAAGTAGGTGAAGAAGGTGCTCGGCGCGGTGGTCTCTCTCCAGGCGCGGATACAGAAGGGGGGGGGGATGGGGTTTTGGCCCCCCCCTTATCCCCTAGATAGCCGCCTGAAAGGTAGGCAAAAAGTGCTACTTTGCCCCTGTAAGTAGGTAAAAAGTGCGACTTTGCCCCCCGTAGGCCGCCTCTGGATCCGCCACTGTCTCTCTCGCACTCATGGGGCGACCCGTAAGGGTGCGAGAGAGACAGGGCGACGCGGAGTTGCGCGCGGAATCTGGTGGAATCGCTCTGGTGTGGCGGATCTCGGTCGGCGGGGAGGTTAAGAGCTCTCGCTATCTGCTTAATCCATCGCGTGCCGCCTTGCGTGCCGCGTGCTGCGCTGCGCCTCGCCGTGCCCGCCGGCAGCCCGCGGATTGCTGGGGGTGTGTCCGCCGCGCCGCCGCGCTCCGCGGTCTGTGTCCTCTGTGTCTCTCCGCCGCGCCGCCGCACCGCGACGCTCACACGCTCACTGCCTGTCCGTCTCCGTTGCAGCCGAGACTGCCCGAGACTGCCCGAGATGAAGACGAAGCCTGACAAGGCGGCCGAGGCGCCGGCCATCCCCCTGCCCGTCCTGCAGAAGTCGACGTACGTACGGCCGCATGCGAAACAGCGCACAGTGGGCCAGAAGACCGGTGGAGGTGGCCAAAACTCTAGACGCGTTTTGAGCTCCAGAGTCACTAAACAGAACTCGAATCGAACGTGTGACCCCATCAATGGAATCCTCGTCCGGAGAGCAATCCATTGGTCGAACGTTCGATTTGAGGCCTGTTTAGCGACTCTGGAGCTCAAAACGCGTTTGGAGTTTTGGCCGCCTCCGCCGGTCTTCTGGCCCACTGTGCAGCGTCGGCACAAACTCGACAAAAAGTCCAACTTGGTCGATACTCTCGTAAACGGCGAGCGTTAGGAACGTCATGCTTAGGAGACTTCGGTTTTCAATTAAAGTTCCGAACTTTGTTGCCCCATGCATGATGTAAGCAACGGTCGTCGTTTACGACATATCCAATTCCTGAAGTTGGAACTTTTGTTCAGCTTTGCTCTGTTTTTCTTGACCGCAGTGCACAGTGCATGTGCACAGTCCATGTTCGCTCGGTGGGAAACTAATCGTGAGAATTGCGGATCAAAGTGGGGACTTGAACGCAGCAGGCTCCTTCGACGGGTCCGATCGAGACTGGATGGGAATCAATCAACTTCTGTTTTTGTTGACCAGCTCGGGGACAATGGGACTAACCGTGCGATGGATATGGTATTGCGATCCAAAGCTGTCGTAAATGGTCCGCTCAAGTGATTTGGAAATTTGCATACAGGATTGCAGGGGAGTGGGGAAGGCTCGAGACAAAGCCCGAGGAGGCCGCGTGCCGCGTCGGCCGTTCTGGGTCTAACACTTTGGCACAATTGATACCATCGCCATGGAATGTACGCTAAAATAATTCTATTTGCACTTTATAAAACTCAAACTCAAATGTTACTTTTGTTAATGTCTCAAAGAATGTGCCTTTCTTCGTCACGAAACGCTTATGAAAGGGCGGCGGGGCTCCCACCTCACCTGCAGACCGTTTAAAGGCTCATCGATACCGTTTAATCAAAGAGAGCCCAGCCCAGGAAATTAATCGGTGTCACCGTGACGCCCTGCTGATGCATCGCTCTTACGGCGAAGGGCCGCGCCGGCCGGGGCGGTGGAGAATGTTAAACGGTTTTACGACACAGATAAGCAGGCTGGGCGCCACCAAGCCACCTCACAGGGCGACTAGTTATTTGGTCGTTTATGGCGGCCTTCCTATCGCCAGGACGGGATTACTGAAACAGTGTAATTGCGGTGATACGAGGAGGAATCGGCCGACCTGTGAATGAGTGCAATGCAATGAGTGCGTACACTGTGTGTTTCCGCAGGGCCACCCTCGTGTCGCAGGATGACCTGTACGACCCCTTCAGCCAGCGGCCGGAAACGCTGCAGTACTCGTGAGTGCCGTGTTCGGCGAGCTGGACCGTGTGGCTAGATGATAAGACACGGCGCCTTCTGAGCGTGTTTTTGCTTCTTTTTCTGCAGGGACTTTGGAGCGTGGGCGCACATGGTGAAGGCGGGCATGGGCACGGGCATCATGGCCATGCCCATGGCGTTCAGGTACGGCGGCGTGGTGGTGGGGCTGCTCGGCACCCCGCTCGTGGGCCTCATCTGCGGCCACTGCGTGCTGCTGCTCGTCGCCACCGCCCAGCACCTCTACGTGCGCGCGCGCGTCCCCGCCATGACCATGGACGAGGTGGCCTACTACGCCTTCCTGTGCGGCCCGCACTGCCTGCGACGCTGCGCCCCCGCGGCTCGGTGGGTAGTCACCGAATTTCCCTATCCAGGTGGCTGTACCTCTCAAACCGGGAGCGTTTGGCAGGGAGGTGACTTCATTTTAAAATCCGCTTGCAAATACTCACCCGTTTGAGAGACACGACACCGTACACCGTTATCGCTCCAAGTGCTGAACACTGTTTGGCACGAGCCCGCACCGTCGTAACTCGCGTCTCTGTTTCCGCAGCATGTTCGTGCAGGGCGCCTTGTTCCTCACGTACTTCTTCGTCGGCATATCCTACACCATCTTCATCGGGGAGGCCATTCAGCAGGTACGGCAGTGCGACAGCGTCGCCGCGGACAAAGGCCTCAAAGCAGCAGCGGCAGCGCAGCACACTGCAAAAGCGCGGTCAAGGCCAGTCAAGGCCCCGTGGCGCCTATGCAGGCTCGCTCCGAACAATGCTCCGTCTCTCTCGCACTCGTGGGGCGCGGCCGGCGCGGCCTAGGGGTGCGAGAGAGACGGAGGCGCTTGCGCACGCTTGCGCGGCCCGTCGACCCACTCAGGCTGTCAAGCCGGAGGCGCGTGTCTCCTCAAACAAGAGCATGCCGGACGAGCGTGGAGCTGGCCGAGCGCGCCTCGCTGACATAATGGCTGTCTTGCCGCGTCCACTCGACGCCACTCCGCGGCGCCACAGCCACTCCGGGTGGCCGGATGGCCGGATGGGCATGTCCCTTCGCACTGCCGCCATTCAATGCTCCGACAAAGACGGGCTGCAGACGGGGGACACAAAGAGGGAGAGAGAGACAGGCTCCGGGCGGGACTGCCTACCCGCCGCACAGTGGGCCAGAAGCCGGTGGAGGCGGACAATACTCTAGACGCGTTTTGAGCTCCAGAGTCGCTAAATGGGACTCGAACAGAAAGTGTGGCCCCAACAACGGATTGCTCTACGAACGAGGAATCCATTGGTGTGGTCACACGTTCGGTTCGAGGCCTGACTCTGGAGCTCAAAACGCGTCTAGAGTTTTGTCCGCCTCCACCGGTCTTCTGGCCCACTGTGCGCCGGCCTGCGGCCTGCCGGCGCCACTGTGCTCGGCCTGGGGGGTTTGCAGTTTCCGCCCCCCTCGCTGGTCGAACTAAGGCCTGGGTGTTCCACGTGTTCCAGCTGGTGGAGCAGTGGACGGGTGAGGCGGTGCTGGACCGGCGGGTGTACATCGCCGTGCTCGCCGTGGTGCTCGTGCCGCTGTGCCAGGTAATGCCGTCAGACCTCTATCGCTCTGCGTCCCTCCCGCACTCACAGGGCGCTCCGTAAGGGTGGGAGAGAGACAGAGCGAGGCTGACCGGCGGTGTGTGGCGGTGTGTCGCCATGCTGCAGATCCGCCAGATGCGCACCCTGGTGCCCTTCTCGGTGGCGGCCAACGTGTGCATCGTGGTGGGCTTCGCCATCACCATGTACTACCTGCTGGACAGGCCGCCGGACATGAACCGCGTCGACATCGGCCCCACGCTCCTCGGCCTGCCCATCTTCTTCTCCACCTCCATCTACTCCATGGAGGGCATCGGCACGGTGAGGATGGCGACGGCGATGGCGGTCGCTGCGCGCGTTCCACGCAGGGCGAAAACCCATCTCTAAAGGGTCCTCATGATCTTCGTCTCACTCAGGTGATGCCCGTGGAGAACACGATGCGAAACCCGGGCCACCTTGGAGGCTGGAAGGGACTGGCGTCCAGGGCCGTGGCCTTCATCGTGGTGCTCTTCACCGCCATCGGCCTGCTCGGCTACATGCGCTTCGGATTGGACGTCAAGGGCAGCATCGTCCTCAACCTGGACCCCACCGCCGTGTACGTTCAACCCGAACTGCCCTTGTTTGAGGCCGCAAGCTCCGTAGCTTGACTGGGTCTGGCGCCTGGCAGGTAGGCCGTCTGGCCGGGCCGCTAGACACCGGTGTGGGGACGGTGGCCTATCTTGCCTCCGCAGGGCGCTACAGGGGCAAGGTAGGCCACCGTTCGCACGCCAGTGCGTGGCGGCGGGCGGCATGAGGGGTGCCTACCTGCAGGCCTAGATTGCGATTGCGATTAATGGCTGGACGACGAATGATCGTCTGCCTATCGGGCCCGCCCCACCATGTCGGTGATTCACCCACGACGGAAGCTCATGCACGCACTGCATCGCTGCGTGCGCTGCAGGCCTGCGCAGGTCGTGAAGGCGCTGCTGGCCCTCGCCATCGTCTGCACCTTCCCGCTGCAGTTCTACATCCTCCTGGAGCAGCTCACGCCCGTCATCAACGCCAAGGTCACCGCGCCCAACCTTCGGAACTGGGCCCAGGTCGGTACGAGGAGACTCAGGAGGAGGAAACAGCGACAGAACGATTTTTCGGAATCTTTCAGCTAGTTCCAAAAGAATTCCAAAAGCGAGAGACTTTGAGCGGAGTTCTGACGAATGACTCCGCTGCAGGTGGGCACGAGGGTGTTCCTGGTGGCGGCGTCGCTCCTCGTGGCGGTGTCCTTCAACAGCTTGGAGCTGGTCATCGCCCTGATGGGCGCGGTGCTGTTCTCCACGCTGGGGCTCCTCATCCCCGCGGGGGCGCACCTCATCGCGGAGCTCGGCCAGAAGGCGGTGAGTGTGTGACGGCAACCGACTCGCAGCTACCCCGCGCGCGAGGAACCCTTTGCGAGGCCGCCGAGGCGCGGGGTAGCGGCGGGTCGCTGTTCTGTCCGTTTGCGACTGCAAGTGCCCAGTGTGACGCCCCAACCGTGTTTTCGAACCCGCAGGACGCCAAGGTCTCCGGGACGCAGCGGAGCAGTGCGTGGAGCACGCTGACGTTGGTGAAGGACGGCTTCCTGGTGGGCCTGTCCTTGCTGACGACGTGCGCCGGGGTGTACTCGGCCCTCACCCCCGCGTAGGAGCCTGCTAGCCTGCTTGGACCAGTGGTGTGTCTCGAATCAAACACACGACGGCGCCAGTGGGCTCCTCGTTCGAAGACGAATCCATCACTACCGCCGTGTCTTTGATTCGAGTCCCATTTGAGGACGTTGAGGAGCTCAAAAACGTGTTCCTGGTCTCGCGACCCGCTGTGAGGTGGCACCGTCTGAAGCAGGTCGACCTCGTGGCGACAAAGCCTTTCGATTGCGCTGGCGAGGTGGTCCTGTAGGCCCCGCAGGCCCTGCAGGACGCTCCCGAAGGAACAAGGAACAGTGCGCGGCAGGTTCCCGACATCAGCCGCACCTGTCCAGGGTTGTCTGGCCGAGTGTGCAGTGTGCAAGCGAGGGAAGTCCCGCGGTCACCAATGTCCAGCGGGGCGGCAGCGGCCAGCACTAGCAGGCCGCCGGCAGTGGCGTGGCACAGCGCGGCACTCCCGCCGGAATCCCCTCTCTCGTTTTGTCCAGGATCTCCATCAACATTAAGAATGTCCATGGCGCACTGTGGCAGTGCCATTTTCTTAGCCTCGTAGGCTGAGTTGGGTTTCGCGATTAAATCATTATTTGTTACGTGTAGTTAAATAACGATCCCTTGCGAATGCGCATAGGGTTCATGGTTGTCTGTGATATTTGTTTCATCGCGCAATAAAATCCGAAACCGATTTCATCTTCTCACTCCAGGCCGTGCAGGCCGATTGTTTTTGGTACAGGGAATCGGGTGAGAAAAAAACAGCAGGTGTTTGCCTTCAATATTTGTTTTATTTTAATTTTGTTACATCATGTACATTTGGTCTTGAATTTTCACAAAAAAATGAAAGTAGCAAAGAAAATTTTAAGAAAAAAAATCCACTAGATAGTAATGTAAGGGTTTGGTTTCAAATAATACTCAATCCAGTTTACAATTAAGGCCAAATCTTCAGACAGAAAAGTTAATGTTTTATTTGCTTCTTTTTCATAGAAAAAGAAAACACTGTAATGGCACTACAAAATTCTATTCATTGATTTACACTTGACGAGAATGCAAAAAATGTTGCTAATTAAGGCACACAATATTCATAGCTTGTGTAATGTAGTGGAGTAACAAAAAAAGGGGGGGAGGAGGAGAAAAAATACCTGTCAACTATACATCTATCATCCGAAAACATCATTGTTGTTGTTCATAGAAGGTTAAGAGCCTTCTGTTAAAAAAATATAAAAAAGTACAAAGAGTTCAAACAATAACAAGAATTAACAAAGTGAGTTGTTTTGAAGCAGGAATAAGTTAGGGTGGGAGTTAATGATTCAATACTAAACATCAGTCAATGGAGTAACTACCAATTTCTGACTTATCAAAAGTCGGACGGACATGAAATGCTGGGTTACATAAGGATGATTTTTGATAAGAGAAATTCTTCCATTCCACTAATGAAATGTGAAATGTTAGGCTCTTTGCTTCAATAGCATGCTATCACAAGTTAGGACATTACCCTGTGAGGTACCTAGCTGCACACAAGGGACAAATTCTAACCTCAGTTGGTACCTAATAGAAAGCTTGTTAAAATCTAAATAAATTAGTGCTCTCTTAAAATAAAATTACTAATAAGTTCTCAAAATCAGTACAACACAGTAGCAGATCAATTCTACAGGTTTGTTTAAGATGAAGCTTTAGTCCATATCTAAAACTGTAAAAATACATTTTCACATTAGAACTTCTGTTAAAAACAGATTTGATTATCATCATTCCAGCACATAGTTCCAGCACATGGTATGACTAGCCCCAATATGTATTGGTCACATTTCCAATCACAAAAAGGCATAAATTAACAGAGATCAGAAATACTGTTTCTTTGCCCTGCATCTATTACTGTTATCCCATTTTATCACTAGGGATGTGAAGGGAAAAAATGCACATTAAACAGAATTTACTCTTCACAACTACTGGAGTGATGATTGTAGATTGTAAGTCAAGAGTATCTCACATTCAGCACAATGGGATAGGATTCACAGCCTTGATATTTTTCTAATGATCAAGTCATATCAGCATGACTTAATACAACCACACAAACAAGTCTTGTAACCCCTCAAGGGAATATCAAGCAATTTAAGTTAAGTAAAGCTCAAATCCAAGTAATTAATACTTAAAAGCCATTAGAGTAGATTACATTAACACACCATTTACCAAATAAGGCACAGAACCTGGTATACACATTTTGATTTTAAATTTCTATGATATTAAACACAAGTGCCCTCTACCAAGACAAAGATATTGCTGTACTTCCACAGTTGAGTAGAGTTCAATGTAACAACATAAGCGGCAATTATGAAGGGGTGTTCATCTTCCTAAATGAGCTTAAAATTTAGTAAAAAAAAAAAAAAAAAAACACTGCTACAAGACATTTCCTTGACCTATCTAAGAAAGGCTAAGTTAAGTACATATCAAACCTGCTTAAAGGGTTGCAGTATTGGAGTGAAATTACTACCAATATTTAAAGTGAAGAAGCAATTTCAACACTCTTGACATGTACTTGCACATAGTGCAAACTAACAAACATGCAAACACAAGAAAGAAAACTTTTCATGTGAATTCAATATAGAATGTAACTGTATGAAAAAAAATCACAGTCAACTTAAGTTTTCAAAGACAGCAAAAAATAGTACATTGAAAAATATTTCTTGTGGTGAGCAAATTATTGTTGTTTGAGAATTTTTGAATCTTTAGACTGCTTTAATTCGTTTTACAGAGGCACATCACATCACAACTCATCAGTTTTAAGTACGCTTGGTCAACATTGAGCAGAAAAACCATCTATTAATGGAGGTAGATATTTTTAAATACAGATATGCTGCAGGAGTCGAATGAGTGACAAATTTCATTTCGATGATATTCTGAGATAAAGTATGTAGTTCTGTTGAGAGGAGACTAACACAAAATTTTACATTAATCCGGAATAGACAGGATTAAATATAGCCTGAACAAATAGGAACTTGTTACAAAATGAGGTAGCTACACCTTGCCATTGGTTTCGAACAGCTAGGAGGCAATTTGTCGAAGTCTCAGCAAATGCAAAACTTGAATTTGTTGAAGTAGAATTTGATCAAACTGATCACTTAAGAAACTTTAGTTACTTTCACAAAAAGTGATTGCTACCACCAAAAACAAAACAAAAAAAAAATAAAAAAAAAATGGAGAAGGGACGAAAGGTGGTTGGTAGAAGCCTGTAACTTAAGTATTTCTTGAAAGCTGGAATTAATCTTGTAACTTAAACACTTACACAAGTCTGTACATAACAGTGTATTCACGTACGGGCACAACATCATATATCACATTACTTATGATTTAGTAAATCAGAAAATAAATACACTTATTTAATGTTGCAAAAGACAGCAAATTCTTTCTATTTTCCTAAAATTTGAGTAAAACCCTGAATGCCAGAAATTACATCAATGTAAGACATTGCAACTGGCTATGATTGTAAAAGTTACTATGTTAGTTTTGTTAAAGTCATACTCAGAAAAGAATTTAAAGTGGACAAAAAGACAACTTAATCAGCTCTAAAATGCAACATCAGGAAGGATGTTAAATTTTCAAGGAGGTGTAACTCCTCAGCAGGAGCTACATTCTGAAAACATCCACATTAATTGTCCAAGGATTGCATCATAATTGTTATTTCTCGGAATGTTTGCCCCAACTTGCCCTGTACAGTTTGTCTTTTTAAAAGAAAAGATCGAATGGACTGTAAACTTTCATAACATTTAATACATTTGTTGTACCTGAAACAGACGTAAGTAAAATTAATAGTGAATTTGGACAAATAAATTGAGGATTACTGGAAACGAAGATACACACCTCTCTTCACGAGATATGTCAACACCAACTGTGCCAACAGGCGCTTGAACATTTGTTTTGATTAGTGATGAGAAGTTTCGTAAAATAAGACGCAGGGCATTGCATCCAACTGTCATATACCTGAAGAATAAAAACCAACAACATATTAACTTCTGCAGTAATATCCAAATGGGGAGTCACCTCTCAACTTATCAGCTGAACAATGCAGCTTTTGGGCAAAACTTGAAATTGAAACTATTACAAAGTTATCCCAGTTGAGCACATAACTATCTAAGAAAACAACATTTAAGACTTCCCACACCAGATAATTTTGCAAACTCTCAAAACTGGTGGGATCATTAGAGGACACCTTACAAAAGACCGAACAATCTTAACTTACTCTATAAACTTACATTTCATATTTACTTTGAAGGAGCTCATAAATAGGATTCAGCAATGAAACACACAAGTCTAGATTCCAAATAGACCTGGAAAAGAAAAAAAAAGGGGAAAATATTAGGAATAGGAACTGAGGATTTTCAACACAATAGAAAACACCACTAAAACTGTAAACATACGGTCGAAGAGTCAAGATGCCCAGTAGATCAACGACAATAGCAAGGTCATTCATTTCCAAAGCCGCATCAACAGCCACCTGGGACAGGTTAAAAAATACAGAAATTGTGAAAATTGACAATAGTTATTTGTCCGCCTGCCATACGAAAGGTTGCGTCATTTATATTACCTTCAGATCCTTATTATGCCATAGAGAGGAGATAATTTGTAAACTTCGATGTCTTCCATTCATTACAGTCATCATTGACTCATGTCCACGCATAATGGATGACAAGACTTCTGCTTCAGACAAATCCAAATATTGATGGTGCTGATAAAGATTAACAGATCGCTGGAGACGATTCTGTAAAATATGAAGGCGTTTTGCAATTATTAACAGCATGCAATTTGGGTATTATACCATAGAACTCGATGCTGATTATGACTAACCGGCAAAAAATCTTCCAGATCCAGGTTAGATGGCTTATCCATGGACATAGGAATGATATCTTCTAACTCGTCTTCCACATGATCGGGCCTTGGCCTTTCAAGAACATCAACACTGGAGGTTTCTTGCCTACGAAGGTTTTCATCTGAGACAACTTTGCTTCGGGGTGCTACCATAGGTAGAGCTCCTTTAGATGAAGGGGTGGTGCTGGAATTCTTTCCCAAGTAGGAGACCGGGATATCATTACCCAGGTTGAATCCTGGGGTGATGGAATGTTTTACATGAAAACCACTAGCTGAGGTATTATTATCAGTCATAGTGCTTATTTGTTTAATATTACCAGTGCTTGAACTATTGGCTACAGCACTGTTTCTATTTAAAGAACTAGACCGAGAGTGTCCAGCATTTGACCGGTTCAGAGCTGGTTCAGAGGGGCTGTGCCGTATGCTGCTGAGCCTGAAGGATAATATTCAAGTATTAATGAAATTTGTAGAGCGTCCCTAGAAAAAAGTATTTTACAGAATCACTCACTTTACAGGGAAATCATTATCAAATGAGGAATGTGACTCTTCTCTGTAACTGATTCGGTGAGCTGCAGAAGGAGTAGGAGAACTGCCTTTGGATCGTGCTGATCCAGAGAGAACTGGACTGTGTTTATCACTTTTGTGTCGAACGGGAGAAAGTTGAGATGGTCTAAACAGGAAAGAAAAATAACAAAACTCACATTGGCCCCACAATTATCCAACTGGTTGAAAAAGTTAAAAGCAGAGAGCAGTGGGTCACAAACCTTCGTTGCCTTGGCTGAGGCTCAGGAATTTGATCACCAAATGAATCATCTTGGGGCAAGATATGGATAGTTTGTGGTTGATAGTAGTCAGGCTCATTAGGATCGAGGCAGTCACCAGTCCCACTCATCAGCATTTGCTCAACAGGCTCTGGAGATTCACGAGCTGTTTTCACGGGTATCAGTGGTTGCAGTATTTGAGGCATTCCAATACCTGAAAATACCATCAACATCATTAATTTATTATCAAAAATACAATACACAAGAAAAAATATTTATGAAAAAATTGAAAACTCTTGTCAGCAGATATGAACACAAAGCATAGCTATGCTACTGAAGGAAAAAAAAATTACCTTCTTGCATTGTTAATGATGATGCATTTGAATGACTAGGGGAGTTTTGAGAAGCTGTTTACAGATGACACAAAAAAAATGAATGGGAGTTACTGAACAAAATGCACATGCACTAACAGTATATTAAATGAAACAAAAAAAAAATACAAGACATATAAAGGAAAGGGTATGGGTAAGGGTACAGTTATTAGTAAATACTAAAACACCAAAAAGCATTCAATCATACTTACCATCATCAACAGGAGCAGGGAAAGGTATGGGAGGGGGGCTGCGATTCACTGCAACATCACAATGTGTGCTGACTAAGAGGTGGGTCCAAACAAATTTTCAACGAGGGGGAGCAAACAAGGTGATCAGAGTGACTTGAGGGAATGGAAAGTCATGATAACTATACATCAGGGAGTGGTGTGAACAGTAAACATAACAGTCAGGTCACAAGGCAGCTAATTCTACAAAGCTCCTCATCACTCAGAACATTGAGGTGAACTGACAAAACTAACACAAAACAAACATGACTACAGGTAAAATGTAAATAGATACTAAAAAAATGTTACTGAACTACAAAGGGCAATATGACCTACATTATTTTACATCAAACCAGTGAACTTACATGATCTGTTAGGCTGAAAAATAGCTTCATAGTCCTTCACATCCAATATGTGAGAAGATGATTCATCTTCTGGATCAGTCTCAGATCTTTCTGCTTCATCAATTGTGCGAACACTCATACTGTTAGAAAAAAATCCAAACATTTCTTGTTTATAAAAAGTTAAGTTTGAAGAATTTCAAAAATTTCAAGAAGGCAGTTGGACTTACGGAGGCTTTGTCATATTGAGCTGTGTTTCCTTACTAAAACTCTTCCTAGAACTTTGACCATGGCGAAAGGGTGATGAGTTGATTGCATCATTGGGAGAAAGGACTGGTCCACCAAAAGGCTGAACTTTTTTCAGATCAACAACAAATAAAGAAACATTCATCATGTGGAATGAAGCACCAATCTAACAAAAAGAAAACAAAAAATTAATGGTGGGAAAAATAGACAATTATTATAGACATCAAAAAATTGTTTTTCTTACCAGTTGGTTTTGGGCTGTAGCAATATCTGCTACTTTACCCCATCCGACAGGTAAGGAATCATACAGTCTAGAAGGTTCCCAGCCAAAAACTCTTAAACATTCTTGAGATGCGGCAAAAAGACATTCTCCTCCTTGACTGAAGTAAAGACACCTTTCGAAGAGAGGAAAATAGGTTAGCACAAACATTTTGAAAGAAGACCATTTACCCAAATAACATCATACCTTATTGCACCACCATCTCTCTCTGTTGCTGACACAAGTTGGAAGTTTTCAAGGTCCCAAAAGTTAACAGAGCGTCCAGCACTTCCTGATGCAAGTAGAAATTCATGAGGATGAAATTCCACTGATGTTACAGCCCCTGAATGCTCTGAAAATTCTTTTAACACCTTTCCTGCACGGATGTCCCATAGCTGTGGGTACAAAAAGGGAAAGTAAATTAATGGACATAATAGGTACAAATACAAAACTAACTACAACACTGAACTACTAAAACATACTCTGACAACCCCTTCCTCTCCTCCCGAGGCAATCCACTGTCCATCAGGGCTGAATTTAAGGCTGTTGACAGCAAGTTTATGACCATAGGTGAAGATGCAACCTTTTCGTCTAATATCCCAGAGCTGTAAAGAATTGAAGGGAAACAAATTAATTCAGTACCAAGCATAAAATAGGAACTTGATAATATTATGGTTAAAAAAGTTACCTTTATGCTTGCATCTGTAGAGCCTGATGCAAGGAAATCTCCATAAGGATGAAAGTCCATACAACGAATAGAAGATTTATGTCCAGTTAATGTTCGGACGATTTTGACTGCTTCTAAGTCCCAAATTTTGAGTGCCCCAGTCTGCGACCCTGCGCAGACTAGTTCCTCAGTGTGCCCAAATCTAACACATTCTACTGGTGTGGTGTGTCCGCTGAGACTCTGCAAAAATGTAAAAATTGGACTTGTAAAGCAGTTGTATAATTAACTTGGAGTGGAAAAATCTATCTCCATTGAAGAGCACTTACAATAATACAGTTGTGCTTTCCAACAGCCCATAGATTCACTTTCTTGTCATCGCCTCCAGTAACTAGCACTCGGCCAGATTTATGGCCAAGCGCAAGGCAATTGACATTGGCACCATGTGCCACAAAGTCCTCTGGAAATTAAAAGACACTAAATAGGAAAATGTTTCAAATACAAATGCTGTGAGAGAAAGCAGGAAAAGAGTTCTGAATAAACAAGGCCAAGCGGACCAGACATGTTTGTTTACAAGGACACATTCTCAAGTTCGAACCAGAGAGTCAATGGACAGTAAAAATGGGCACTATCTGGTCTAAAATAGAATCATGGAAAACTAATAATTCACCAGAATAAAATGACTCATTATCAAAGACAACTAAACTCTCAGAAGCAACATCAGATTACAAGGTTAATGAGACAAGTTACAAACTCCATAATCTACATTAGCCCATTCAAGTGGAAAAGGAAACGTCAGAAAGTAAAACAACACGAATCTGTTCGTTTACAAAACAAAGAATATCACATAACCTAACAAAGGTTATAAAAATGGTATGTTGATGAATCAGGGCATTTGTCACAGGGTTAGGGTAACTTACGAAGTTTCCAGGATCGCTTCGTTGATACAGCCATGATGCTAAGTTCTCCAACATTAGAGTAGTTTACAGGGTTAGAGGTTTTGTCTTTTTCCTGGACATACTAAATTGATAACTTATTCAGGATATAATGGAAAAGTTAAAAACAGCTGCTGTGTGCCCATCTGCACAGCACTAGACTGTGTTTAACAAGTGCTGCCAACTTCAAGGCCAACACCAAGTTGACCGTGTACCACACCAACTGTGCGACAAACGCATCTGAGCCTCCAGGAAAAGTTACTTCTATCACATGAAAAATTGCAAATTTCGGAGAGTTACTGAAAAAAATGTGCCAAATTCAAGTGTGGTAGATATGCAATGCATAATTTACATACACTCCAAAGGGCGGCCCGCTAGCCGGTAGTTCCCCTTCCACATGTTTCCAAAAATGATTCACTTGAAAAAAAAAAAACCTTGAAAGAGAAGAAAGGGGGAAAGGGAAAACAAGAGACAGAAACAATGGGCTGAGAGGAGTATCAATTTTAATGTTTAATACATGATAAAAACTAAATACAGGGATGTACAATTGTTAGCTTGCTAAAAATCATTATGCCGACTCTAAACAACATTATCACAAGTTTGAAAAAATAAGACCACAAAAAATAAAAACAGACCAGGTTCTGATACATTTCAGTCTCATTTAAAAGAAATAGACCACAAGTTTTTTTTTTTTTTTTAAATAACACCACAAAAAAATAAAAACAGCCCAGCCTCTGATAGGATTTGGAACAGATTATGACAAAAGAGCAGCTAATGCATCAAAAAATTTAGATCTATCTTCAGTTTTTAACTTCATAACAGAGGAATCAAAATAATCAAGCTGGGCCCGTGCATTAGTCTTTTCAGCTGCTTGCTCAAATGCTTTTCCAAAAAAGTTCTTGGGTGAGTCTTCGGCAACAGGTGGTATACCAACAACCAGGCAGGTTCCCTCCTCCACATTGAGTGGAGCTGAAACAATGAGAGGCAAATTTGTTGCCTTCTTTGTCTTCAACATTACGTAGGCTTGTAATATAAACTGAGCTAATGATATTAATGTGTGAGGGTGAGAAAATAGCCGAGCATTTAGAGCTCCCTGCGGACAAAGCATAGATGAATGAATTCAATTTTTCATGACTTAATTACAGTAAGACGTGGTAAATTTGAAGCATTCATACTTCCTGAATGATGAAGTAAAGGAATGGACCAGCAGATACCACCATTTGCATATCAAGAGCACTCTGAACCATTTTAAATATACTGATTAGCATTTGTTTGGCTTTTTCAATACCATCTTCTAGCAGGTGCTTTTTTGACCTAAACCAATTCAATAATGTTAGTATCTCAAACATCTTAAAACAATAATTTAGATAAATGGAGGAAAAAATACTTTGATAATGCATCCATGGCTTCCACAAAACAGTCTTGTGCCGATCTCTCTCTTGACTAAAACAATGAAGTATTATGAAAATTGTGCTTGAAATATAGTAACTTAAAAACATCAACAATAATTTAATGTTTTACTTACAGTTGATTCCAATAATGCAAGCATTGAGTACACAACATCAGAGGCACAAAATTTATTCCTAAAACCATGTTGTAGAATGAAGCTTGCAAAGACCAGCTGATCTAAATTGTATTTATCAGCCAATTTCTCTATCATGGAATGAAACTCCTGCCTTAAAACCATATCCATAGCACAGTAATTTTGACGACTTTGAATTAAAGGCAATCTGAAAACAGAAATTATGATTCCTTTAAAATTGATCAACACTTGCGCTAACAGTTGAGTAGATGAAATTCCTACCCCATGTCCACAAGAAGCTCATGGAGCTTACGCTCCCCCTTCAGAGTCCACAGTTTAAGCTTACAAGCAGAATACATCGAATGTCTTAAACTTGCTTCAACAGTCCAATGACGGTAGAGTGCTAGTTGAAGACTGACGTGGAGTTAAAGAAAATGTGACAAATATAACCAGCACTTTGTTCTGAGTAACGAAAAAAATAAAGGGTAAGGTCATAAAGGATACTCCTTGATATATGATATCCGAGCAACAGTAACAGGGGCAGCAGATGCCTCTGTTGGTTCTTCCTCCATATTGTGATTAAGCTTTGATACATAGCCTTGTAAGGTTCCGGTCTCCAAAACATACTGTTGCTTTTCTACTTTACCCAATAAGTACTGTTCTGTCACTCCAACAATGGCACACCTGTGAAGAAAACAGAATCCTATCAAGGTGCATATTCAAACTATGCAAATGTATTCCAAATTGCACAATTACCAGAGTAAATCTGCATTATCTTTGGAAAGGCAGTGGGCAAGCTCAAACATTTGTACAGCACTCTGGAAGGTAACAGAAAGAAAATATTCACAGCATTCACTCAAAACCTTTCGTCATGAGACCCACCCTGATCTGTCACAATAGAGGACCAAAATAAATTATACTTACAGATTTTCCATAATAGCTAAACTGAGTGTAATTGAAAACTATTCTATTGCGTTTATCATTCCACAACCGCTGATCTCTGCGCTTCAAAATTGCTTCCTCGCTCATTCGCATTCTTTTTGCAGCTCTGGACTCTTCAGGATCTGATTCTTCTCCAGAGTTTTCATCGTCTTCATCATCTGACTAAGAGACACAAATTGCACAGAGGATTAAACTGAGAATACAAAGAAAATTCTCCTTAGATTGGGCCACATGTTGACAAACACTCACATCTTCCCGAAACACATCATCGAAATCAGGGATTCCCTCATCGGGATCAGCTTTGCCAATTATCCGTACCTGAACAGAAACAAAAAACATAAAATAGAAACTACAGACAGAGCTTGAAAATAAAACCTTGCACTTCAATTCAATCCAATGGTCAAGAGAACTAAGCGTACTTACTTGAGAGCTGCTAAACACATTACAGAGATCAGTTGGACGATGGCTATCCAACAAAAAGAAAATTACACTGTCCTCTGGTTCAAGCAGTTCAACTATGTCAACAGTTCCTCCACAGTTCACAAGAACAACAAATTTCACCTGTTGAGATAAAAGGTATGCAGTAGAAATCAATTCTATGCCATAAACTTTATGTAACATGTCCCATTGAAGGGCCAGCGATATGGATGTTTTGAATATACAAACCTCTTCACAATTTTCTTCATATGCTTGACGAAGTTCTTGGACACCAGATACAGGCACTACAGTAAATAGTATTGAGTCGCATCGAAACAGGTACTGAAGAATGCGCACTGCACATATTGCGTCAATGTCGTAATTGACAAATAGGAGCACTCTCTGAAGGCAAAGAGAGAATAATGGTTTCAAGCTAACATTTCAGGGAGAACAAACGATTAAAAATATGGATACAATGAACGAGAGGTATTAGACACATCTATAAAGAACAACACCAATTTAAGACAGGTTAAGGGTTTCTATGAAGGATGTTAAGAACGTCACTTGGCACTCGACATCATGGATCATAAAACATCAACAGAAACAAATAAAGGCTCAAGAAATTGCAATTGAACTTACGGATCCATTGACAAGATTATAAAAACCCTCAACGATATTTTCTATGTACATTTTTCATTTGACAACACGGACGATTAGCATGAATGGGATATAACAGATGACTTCAACAACAGAACAGACGGCGGATCTGGCGCCAAAATGACAATGACCTACCTCCCCTCCCCCTGTCCTCCCCTTCCCCACCCGTTCCCTCTACCTTCGCACCCTTCACCTCCCTTCGCACGCCAGAACACACGGGAGACTGTGGTGCATTTCTCCGTGATGCCCCCAAAAAGTGCGGCGACGACGACATGAAAACGATTTCGAGGCAGTCTCGTACGGATACGGTATACGAGAGCAGGTAGCTCTTCGGTGACTTTTGAGTTCCTCAAAACTTTTTTAACTTCTTTTTTTCCAGGGGGGTCCGTGAGATGTGGCAACACTGGCAACGCTGCCCGAGAGAGAGGGAACGTACGAACACCCCGTCTACCTTAGTCTACCTGTTCGTCTGTCTCTCTTGCTCACCAGCACCTTTCCTCTTCCAGCACCGTGGAACACCGCACCCACCTAACGGCACCTTTGGAGGAACCGAACCGAGCAATGAACTGGACACTGGACCTGTAGGCGTAGGCAATCTGTTCGTTCCGATCATCAATGGAAGTGAATGAGTTAAAAATTATCTGAGTCTAAAGAAATTTGTCCCTGAAAACTGCGAAACGAAGCTGGTTCCCTGATCAGTGCACTTCCAGAGAATGTGCCACTGATTACTAGAAATCCCTAGGTATGCAAGGTGTCAACTCGGATTTGTTTTAAAATGAAGTTTTTGAATGCAGCTACAACAGCGTCTCATATTCGCTATGCTTTTTGTTGTCTTGAATAGCTAAATGGAAGCACTGCCACAGCTCTAAGGTAAAATCAACAGGTGTGCCGGCTAGTGGTTCTATATTCGCTTAGTGCTTGTTGGTCTGCTTGACCAATTTTCCCTACGCTTACAGTAATTTTTCCCGCTTTGTCTTTCAGATAGATAATTCTAGTGTCTATGTGCTCACAAAAAAGAAATGGCACAAATAATTTCAGCAGCGAGACGCAAAGTTAAAGGCCGAGGGGGGAATTATGAGGATCTTGATGGCCATGTCGATCCAGCTCCTCACTCTCCACCAGATTCCTTACGGAGTGAACAGGGTGCTCAGCATTCAATTTATGGAGGCGATGATAGCAATGATCTCCTTGGCCAAGAAATTGAAATGACATCAGTATCTGTGGTGCCTGACGGTAGGCCTTTACTTGTTTGCTTTTGTAAAATGTTTAATTTTTTCTGAGCCAGGATATTTTTTCCAAAATAATTATTTAATTGCCACTACAGTATTTTATTCTTTACAATCCAGATACCTTTACTGTAACCCAAGCAGTAAATGCATTTGGGTTTGGAAAATTTCAAGTACAATTATCACTATTTACTGGACTGTGCTGGATGGCGGATTCTATGGAAATGACCATTTTAAGTATACTTTCACCTGCTCTTCATTGTGAATGGCATATAACACGGTATCAGCAAGCTCTCACAACAACTGTAAGTTCACATTTTTGTGAATAATTATTTGGGAATGCACCTGTCTCGAGATAAAAATGGAATTATTTTTCTCCTTTTCAGGTTGTATTTCTGGGGATGATGCTTAGCTCTACCTTTTGGGGTAATGTGAGTGACCGATATGGCAGAAAAAAGGTAAATTGATTTATTGCCTCATATCCTTTGTAATTAATTTTGTTGGATGTCCCTCATTGAGTTGCATATCAACCTTTTTTTCTTTTCTTGTTCCTATATAGGCGCTTACAATGTGTGCTGTCCTTCTTTTCTACTATGGGCTCTTGAGCTCTTTAGCACCTAATTTTCTTTGGATTCTCTTTCTACGAGGGCTTGTTGGTTTTGCCATTGGCTGTGTACCCCAATCGTAAGCTTAGCTCTACTTTTTGCATTTTATCAAGATACACAATGTTCTATTTGCACTTAATTGACGTTACTTCTTACAGTGTGACACTTTATGCCGAGTTCCTGCCTACAAAACAGAGGGCTAAATGTGTAGTTCTGCTTGATGTGAGTTACTAGTACAGTATATCTAGGTATTTTGAAATTTGATTTACAAAAAATGATTTAACACATTTTATTTTATCATCTTCAGTGCTTTTGGGCACTAGGTGCTTGCTTTGAAGTTCTTTTAGCTTTGTTGGTGATGCCCACTATGGGGTGGCAATGGCTATTGGCTCTGTCAACCACACCTCTTTTGGTATTTGCGTGCATCTGCCCTGTGAGTTCATTTTGGCTTTTCATCCACGTAAATAAATAAATATGATATACTTTCATGCATAATTTGTTGTCAATCATATCTGATCAAAATTTATGTTTTGCAGTGGCTTCCTGAAAGTGCTCGCTATCATGTTGCTTCAGGACAGCCAGACAAAGCCTTAGAAACGTTGCAAAAGGTAATTGAAGGCGAGCAGCAACAATTTTTGATTGTGAACAGAAATATTTGAGCATGACATTTATTTACAGGTTGCTAAAGACAATGGGAAACCAATGCTATTAGGTCGTCTTGTTGTGGATGATGCTAGTATGGGACGGCGAGGCCGTATAAGAGATCTTCTTGGAGCTGAACTACGACGAACATCACTCCTTTTGTGGTTTATATGGTGATTAAAAAATGTATTTAAGCTCATTACAAACATGATAAATCTTCAAGTCATGAAGCAATTATATTTTCTTTAATATTTAGGATGGCATGTGCATTTTGTTACTACGGCGTGGTGCTGATGACAACAGAATTGTTTGAGGCCTCTGCCAATCGATGTGCTTCTGATGGAGGATCTTTCTCAAGTCAAATTAAGCCTGTTGAAACTTGCTCTGCTGATTGTAAGGAACTTACTACAACTGATTACATCGACCTTCTGTGGACTACCTTGGCAGAATTTCCTGGTGAGCAAGTCTGGGATTCATTCTAGTGTGTAATGTACAGTGTAAACTACATACTTGTAGTGTTAATATTGTGTTTTCACTTTATTTGAAGGGATTTTTGCCACAATATTTGTAATTGAACGCTTTGGACGCAAACGTACTATGGCTGTGCAATTTGTTATATTTGCTGTTTGTATTTACTTCTTGCTGATCTGCAGTGCTGAGTATGTACTCTCCCAATTTCATACCTTGTAATTAGGTAGATTCAGAGCCTCTGAGGTAAACACGCCCCGTATTGTCTTACTCACTTTCCCTTTACATGTTTAAATGCAGACGAAGCTTTTTAACAGCTATGCTGTTTATGGCCCGAGGAATCATAGCTGGGGTTTTCCAAGCAGCATATGTGTACACCCCTGAAGTAAGTTGCTACTACACCATGAACTTAGTGTATGTTTACTTGTTTTCCCATAAAGTATCCCTCTAGTGATTTTTTTAAAAAAAATTTTGCCTTGCAGGTGTACCCAACCCCTTTGCGTGCAGTAGGTGTTGGAAGCTGCAGTGCTATGGCTCGCCTTGGTGCTATGGTCACACCCTATGTAGCCCAGGTATATCATCATCAATTCAATTTGTTATTTATTTGCCCTGTCAATACTAAAACCCAATTCTCTATCAGGTCTTGTTAAATTCATCACTCCCATTGGCCATGACCGTTTATGGACTAGCAGCTCTGCTGGCAGCAGTTGCTTGTTTCTTGCTCCCAATTGAAACCAAGGGGAAAGAAATGAAGGAATCTGTAAGTGGACCTCAATTGCATAGGCCTCAACCCACACAGCCAACTACTGCTTCTCAGTAGGTTACTAGACAAGAAATTCTATTTATGTAACTGTTTTTGTTATTGTTAATTTTTGCTTCTAGTTTATACTTTTTGTTAATATTTTGTGTATGTACCTTTGCACCACTTTCAAATAATTAGATAATACGACTAAGTACTTTTAGTATAAATGTTGCGGGCTGCAGACATTATTTTTTGTATCCTTAATTTGCTAAAAACTTTCCTGATAGTGTGATGTATTTTATTACCATGACGTCATTAGTAAGTGACATTTTGTGCACCAAAGACTGATGTGATTTTTGACTGTTTGTTTAGCGGAGGGCCTTGAAGCTCGATTTGTGTTTCAAGTAGTTTGCCAAAATTAATTATAAATCGCATTCTTGTCTGTCCTGAAGAGTAATCTTCATCTGTCCCTTTTGACTACAATCTGTTGTTTTAGTGTTTTTGTTTTGTGGGTATCATTTCACTTGTAACAGCTTTTTATCACATTTTTGCCAAATACCCATTTTTTATTATTTATTTATTTATTACTATCTATGGTCGTGCTTACCACTATCCACAAAAATGAAATAAAGATACTCAAATGCTGCTTTGTTGTTTTTTTTTGTTTTTGTTTTTTTCAATGAAGTATTTGAAAGTGTTTTACTTTAAGGCATGATGAAATAACACTAAGGGAAATTTCTTGTAATTTAATTCTTAGACCTTATCTGAATAATTGGTTATTTAATTAAGAGAGGAGAGACAAACAATGGGTGTTCCAGACCAGTTTCTTATTTATCCCTCCTGGGCACACATACAGCAACGGTACTCAATTAATAGTGAGTGATAAAAGAGAAGGTTGGACTTACACCACCTTTCATTGGACCACTAGAGTAAATTTTAACAGAAGCTCTACATAAACAGGCTGAAGGATCTTCGGGGGATTGTCAGGCTACATAAAACAAATTTTAGGACTAAAAGGTAAATGGTAAAACTACATTAACATGTCACATCTGTAGGTTCAATTGTAGGTTGAATGACTGGGACTACTGCATTATTAACAAATTGCACAACTTGAGCAGCTTCAAAAATTGTTTCCACTACATTAAACATTTCAGGCAGTTCTATTTTCTCTCCATTAACAAATGCCTCAGGGTTCAGGGTTCCCTGAAAAACAACTGCTCTGTCAACTATTAAACCATTAGTATCTGGGTAATCAGGATTAAAGCGTGTAAAACTAACAAAGAGGTTTCTTGGGTCTTTATGAACACCCCATAAAGCAGAAGGCAAATTTACATTTCGGTACTGAATCAAAAGTCGTTTAAAATCAAACACACTGTCGACATCAGGTTCTGCAACAATTTGGATACTTCCAGTCTCTGACGCCTCATCATCAATATCAACTGTGACAATTGTTTTCGATTTTCGATGATGCCTGGGAACACTAACCAGCACCTCACATTCACTAGTGTCACTATTGCGGCGACGGCGAGGCAGTTGTTTCTGAAGCATTGGCTCAGCAGGGGCTTGCCGTTCAACCAAAGCTTGTTTGCGTCGGTCACTTTTAGACTGAGCTTTCTTTTGTGAATCTTTCCTTTCCTCTGTGTCCAAAGGTTCTAAGGGTGTCCACAGTTCAGACTCATCTTGAACATCTTTCTTCTTCTTTGTTGGAGGCTTTCTTTTTTTCTTAGCTTTTTCCTTTGGAGGTCCTTCACTCTTATCTTTTTTTGTTTCACTTTTATCTTCATCTTTATCATCCTCCTTGTTGTCAACATCACCATCATTCTTTTCATTAGTATTTTCATCATTCTTATCATCTACTTCTTCTGGATCATCTTCATTTTCTTCATCACTCAACTGTCTCTTTCTGGTGATCCTTACACTCCTTACAACTCGAGAAGAGGCTGGTTTCACATTAGGGGATTCTGAAGTGGTTGGTTTGGCATTGGAGGAATTTCCATCAGTGTCACTTTTCTTATCGTGATTCTTATCATTTGTATCTTCAGTTTCTGGTTCAGTTTCCTCTTTGTTCTGGCTTTTGTTTTCCTCTTCATTTTTGTTTCCAATTTTCTCTGCAATCTTGTTTCCGGCTTTCTCTGTACTTTTGTTATCAGTTTTTTCTGGGCTTTTGTTTTCAGTTTTCTCTTCGTTCTTGTTTTCTGTTTTCTCTTCTTTCTTCTTTCCAATAGATCTTTTACCCTTTCCAGTCGGGCTCAGTTTCACCTCTTCTTCAGGATTTTTTGAATGCCTGGTACTTCGTCTTTCAGGTACAGACGCGTCTGAATCTTTGTTAAGACTTCGACCCATTTTAAATGATTGAGTGTTCAAGATCACCTGAAAAAGAGAAATAACAAATTGTAAGGATATATGGCACAGTATTCAGTGCAGAAAGTATACAAACAGCATGAATGGTGCATAAACAAATGACGTTTAACCTAAAAACCTTATCGATAATGACAAGGTAAGTGAACTATCGTCACGCCAAGTGCAAGAGCTTTGTCTTCCTGACCTATTAAGAAAATTTAACAATATGTTGCGTACTCGAGTGAAATATACAAAAACAATTATCATTACCTCTTGTAAATAAGGTCACAGCGCAAAGAAGACCCCGCGACGGAACCACGGAACAGACGACTTTTCCACCACTCGTTATAATATATTGATATTTTGGAAATGATAAGAATGTGCAAGATGCTAGATTCTCAAAACTTCAATCATTGCAGAGTAGATGGCGGAGTTTAACATTTTTTCTGCTGGTACACAAAATGACAAATCTAGTTCGAGCAAGCAACTAGAAACATAAACAAGATGATGGCTGCCCCGGCCGCGCGGTGATAGGTCGTAAATAGTGCCAACCTACCAAAACAAACACACACATCAGTATTTGAATTAACTCAACTTGCAAACGTGAAAAAATATGCCAATGTTTCAAAAAGGTAATTTAATAAAGCCACAGTTCATATTAGAATAAAATGGGGTTTTCCTGCATTTTTAACACGAATTATTGTGGTAGGATCTTGTTGGTATGAAAATGAGGTGTAATCCAATGTGACCAACAACAGACAGAATGTGTTTGTGTATGTTTGTGTACGTGGTTTGAGGTTCTTTACTTACAGAAGTTTCTTTTTTAAAAAGTTGTATTATAGTTTGTCAGTTTGCAAGAATTGAGTCGTCATGGACATTGAATGTTTAAAGACACTAAACTGTAACCAAGGAGCTGTGAGAGCTGTTCGTTTTAATGGTGCGACTTCAACGTTTCTTCTATGTGATGATCTATTATTGTAATTACCCACAGTTTTGCTGTTTTACAATTTTGCAGTTGACGGTGCTTATTGTTTGACTTGCGGTTCAGATAAAAAGCTTAAATTGTGGAACCCGTATCGTAATTTGCTCCTCAAAACCTATGCTGGCCATGGAAACGAGGTGTTAGATGCTTGCGGTTCTTGTGATAGCAGGTATAGTATCTTTTTAATTTCCAATTAAATTATCCTAGTACATATTTACATTTTTGTTTCTCTCGTTGTTTCAGCCAAATTGTTTCTTGCGGTGCTGATAAATCTGTTATAATTTGGGATGTTAGTTCCGGAACTCCTTTACGAAGACTACGTGGCCATGCAAGCAATGTGACTTGTGTTCGTTTCAATGAAGAATCATCAGTGGCAATATCAGGCTCCCTCGATAACTGTGTCATGTGTTGGGATGCTAGAAGTCGCAGTAATGAACCCATTCAGGTTTGTCCGTAGGGAATGTTGTACTATGTTTGTGAATTTGTCGACGCGGCTTCTTATTTAACTTTTATTTCAGGTTTTGAAAGAAGCCAAAGACAGTATTAGTAGTATCCAGATAACAGACCATTTAATTTTAACTGGATCGGTAGATTGTAGAATTCGCCAGTATGATATTCGAACTGGAGAGGTCGTCACAGATTTTGCTGGAGGTATGCACTGGAACATTAATTTAGCCTTTCTAATGAGTGTATCACTGAATTTTAAAATTTTAAATGTTTTTCTGCTTTCAGAGCCGGTGCTCAGTGCTTGTTACACTGGAGACGGCCAGTGTGTGGTAGTTGGCTGTGCCGATGATTGTGTTCGGTTATTTGACAAGGACTCAGGGGAAATGCTTGGCGAGTACAGTGGCCACAAAATTGGAGATTTTAGAGTTGAAAGTGGCATTGACAATTCTGATGGTTTTATTATCTCAGGAGCAACCGATGGCTTCATATGGTGTTGGGATTTAGTAAAAGCTGAAGTGGTAGCTAAGTTGGAACATGCTCCTGGAACTGTGGTAAATTCAATCCATTCACATCCCAACAAAGTAGGTTTAGTTTCAGCTGCAGGACCCACAGTTAAGCTTTGGGGTAAACCTGAATACCTAGATAGTGATTAAACTTTCAATCAATAAGATTTTACTCCCTTTTCGGAAGGCGAATGAGACTTTGTATTTGTGAAAAACTTGTTGAAGGAAGGCAATTTCAATAAATAATTTCAAATATTTCTTTAATATTGTAACCTTCTGTATTATCACAACAAATCACTCACATACTGTTGAAATACCTACTATACATGTAAAAGAGCAGTACTTCTAAACATAGTCTTCAACATTCAGAAACTGTAAAATAAATACACATTATCATTAAGGTATCTAGTCTTGATCAATATGGCATCTGTACATAGACCTTATCTGACAATTCATTGCTGAGAATACTGTGTTGGACTGTGTTGACTGGTAATCATTCACATACCAATCAGTTAAAATACAGTTTTACATTATGCAGGACCTTGAAATGACTACCTGTCCTAGTAGAAACATTGTGGAATTTTCAAGAAAATGCTTATTTGTAGGTCTATTTGCCAGTTTTGACAATCCACTGACATCTTGATTCCACTTGCTTTAATAAGAACATCCTAACAAGATTTGCGGGTTTGTCCATTTCTATATATATTTATATTTATATGCATATAAATTTATCTTATTTCGTCACACACATGTAGGCTACAGCCCTGTTCAACCACAAGCACAGGGATATCTATCACTTATCAACTTAAAAAAATAGAAGCTTAACTCATATACAGTTCTCATTCACAAAAAATGTAATTAAACCTGGAAGCTCATTCATTATGTGTTGCACACTTTCAAGTTTAGTTACCTTTCTTTTCCTAATAATTATCACACCAGGAAGGGAGTCCACATTAGACAAAGGGTAAAAATCCACTTCGGAGTTTTGGAAAACAAAAAATCAAGTCAGAAGCATGCACTTGATTACAGTTAAAACAATTTTTTTGAAGTGCATGCCTCTGCCCATAGGATAACATAATTTTAATTTAGGAACAATACACATGGTTGATCAGAGTTGTAGAGCTCATCAGTAATCTAACAATTTAAAAAAGGAACATTTTTTCCACTTTACAGTAAATCTTTCGCTTGGTCAAATAGAAAAGCTGACATCAGTACATGACAATGCATAAACAAAGACAAGTTCAGAGATAGTTAGGGAGCACACTTATGTCCTCCTAGCACTTCTCAGCAAGTAGAAACACAAAATTTCTATCCAATTGGACAATCCATTTAAGTTCATATTTCAGTCTGAAGCTTCATTTAGGTTTCTTTTGTATAATCATTTCTCTTAATTTTTTTTTAATAAAAAAAAAAAAACCTTTGTGTAACGATTTTCTTTTTTTGGAGACAAGCTGGGATTCTGACTTTGGTTATTTAGTCTGGCAAGATGCTACATTATAAAATTAAATAATACCTGAGTAATGTTGACATACCACGACTAGCTGGTATGATTGAGTAAGAGCATAAATACATTTTCTTTGAAGTAATATATGAGTGTACAAACACAGCTTGGAGGGAAAATACATTCCCTCTTTCACATTACAGGCTTATAAAGGAGGGATTTCATTTTGAAGCACAAATAAATTCAAAGAGTAAACATTAAAATTAAAGAACAAAAAGAAGGGGAAAAACAGTACGAAGAAAACTATTTAGGGCTAACATAAATCATAACGAATATAAAGAAAATGAATACAAAAAGAGGCATAACTATACTTACATTGCATGTATTAACACAATGATACAAAGAAAATGGAACGGGAAGGTCACAACAACTATAAACAAAACATAAAACAGGAAACATCACATGAAGCAATGTAAGTACTTGGAAAGCTCAGTATGTACCTGTGGCACACTGAAACTACTAAATTTAACACTGAGCAATACTTGACTACAAAACCACAACTTTTCCCTCAAAAAATAAATCAACAATATTTAGAAATGAACAAAAACAAAACATGAGAAAATCATGTGCATGTATGACTTTGATGAATGGGGACTGCGTGAGAGACCACTTAAGTTCCTATATGACATTGTTATCTTGTGGATTATGGGCTAAAATATTAACCAGGGAGGAAAAAACAAGGACGAAAGCATTTTGGAGAAAAAGAAGGAAAATGAACATTTTAATTGGAAGTAACAGACCTAACAAATGACTCAGATGTGAATCACTGAAAACAATGATGATGATTTGGGGGTCTTATTCTCCAATCATAAATGTGGTATTGAGTTCTGAGTTCACATCATTGCCAACAAAAGAATATACTCATGAATCTATTGCCACCTGCTTTCCTTCAAGGCTAGATCTAGTTGTACTTACTGACAAGTACAGCAATACATACACTAGCATACATGTATGTACATTACCTATTAAAATGTAGCTTCCACGATTCACAGCTGAGAACAAGTTCTTAACTTAAATACTTATTTCCATCAGTAAACAATTATCTTGCAAAAGAAAAACAAACCTCAGACAATGAGGTTTCTTTTGCTTTGTACACTAAGGAGGATGACTTATTTAAGCAATTTTAACGATACAAATAAGTCCCCGTATAAAAGAGTCTCATATCTTTCCTTATTAGCAATAGTATTTTACAAAACAACAATCTTTGGTTGAAACACACAAACAAATACAAACACAACAAATTATATGATGGTTATACTATACAAACAAAAAGCATGTAAAATCAAAGTATCACCATATGATTCAGTCACTATTTGAACACATATCCCACTGCGTTCCTAAGGGAAATACGTGGCTCATTTTTCCTTAGCATATACATGAGATCCTTTTCACATTCATTGACAAAGTTTCACTCACATGCACTATCGCATACCTTTGACGCAAATGTAACAGCTGCTGTCCAGACAGCTTCTCTGCTGCTCTCATAACAATCTGAATCAAATTGTTAATTTTTTCATAGCAATCACAATCACATATATACAATAGAGGAACTCTGTATGCCCATAATGGGCAAAGACAGTTTGGTGAAGGAGAGTACAAGGATGCACTATCAGAACAACAGCGCCTAATACCTCATATAACAAATACACATAAAATATACATATGTACATTAAAAGTATAATGCCTCTTATGTACACTCTTGTTATTTACACATTCTGTAAATATTTAATCCAATATCGGTAGGGTCAATATATGATACATAGCTTTAAAATAAATTTGGAATAAATAAGGTTTAAAATGATATGGTATTCTGATAAACATGGAAGTTACAGCAACATTGAATCACAAACAGAAAACAGGAAAAATGTGTGGATTAAAGGAGCGAGCCACTGAAGCAAGGCGATAAAGTAGTCACCCAAACCTCTCTTTGACAAGGAACATCAGCTTCTTCTTACCTTTGTAAGCTACTTTCATATTCTCAACAAGCTGGGCAAATTGAGCATGTCCATCATGGGCTAGAACAAAGGTATCTCGTGCCTTGCCAAGGAAGTCAATAAAGTCACCATAGTGTCTTGGAGAGATGTGAGTTAGGCGGGAATGTGTAGTGTTGACATACGCAGCAACAGCGGCTTCTAATAATTGTCGGAGCGGTGTCTTGTCGTATGACAAAGGCTTGACCCCACCCCCGCACCCACTGCGGCCACTACTACTGCGGTGGTGGTGGTGGTGGTGATGATGATGTTTGCCATCAGGAGGATGCTGGCAGGAGCCGCCCGGCGCAGTCATAGAGCATCGCCTTAAAATATCAGAGAGTACTGTGGCACACTGTACATTTTTCACCAGTAATGGAATCATCGTTGACAGCTCAGTCTTCCCCAACGAATGGCTGAGAGCACAGGCCCAGTGAATGTCATTGATAGCAGGATGAGAGTCCTTCAAGAGAAAAGAGAGAAATAAATTTAAAAAATTGTTTTCAGACTTTGGGGTGTTTCTGGTGCAAACGACAAAAGCCTTACCTGATTATAAGCAAGGTGTACATTTTGCATAGCTAACATGGCAAGTTTGTAAGCTCTTGTTGGATACCCTCGATGTTCCATATATCTCGCTATTGTGAATAATTGTGATGAGGTCATGATATTTGCTGCTGCCTCTATCACAATTTGATAGGCAGTTTCAAAAGCCATGGCTTCATTCTCACAAAGCGTCAGAGCATTAAGAGCACAGTTTGGTGGGTCCTAAATTCACAAGAGAAAATAATATATATCAGGTTTAAGCAGAGGAAAATTGCGGTAAGAAACAGACCTGCTACATAAAATCTTGTTCCTTACCTTAGTGGCACACTGTAAAGCCAACGTCCGAGCGCATCCTGACAGTTCTTCTTGCTGAGGGAACGACAGGTTCAGTCTCATAATCGTGTTGTGAGACATGATAGTCGTAGCGACAGAACCTGTGTTATCAGAAAAAGAGGGAGAATACTTTAGCATCATGATACTCGTTTCAGACAAGGCGCCAAGCTGAAAACCAGGCCGGTGGTAGCGATTGCCGGCGTGGCACGCGTGGTATCCCTGGTACCTGTGGCTTCGGTGGGCGTGAACAGCTGGTACCAGTTCTGCATGATGGACACGAGGGCCTCGAAGCCCACCTCGGTGGCGCACGTCACCAACCAGCGCACCATGTCGCGCCGCCGCCAGTTGGGCGTGGTGAGCGTCATGCGCATCACCTGCAGGCCCAGCTCGAAGGCCACGCTCAGCAGCGCGGGGTGGCGCGGCCCGTTGTCGGGGGTGGCGTAGCGGAACGCGTCCTGCGCCAGCTTGAAGAGGTGCGACGACGAGTGGATGTGTCGCTGAGCCGATTCGAGCACGGTGCGCAGCCGCACCACCTCCCCTGTCAAACAGACCAAGCAGTCTACGGCAGTCATTGAGCAGCCAGTCCCACAGCAGCGCACCGCCAAACGGAGCCACACCCACCTTTGGCCGCGCTCAGCATGGTGGACGCCAGCGCGCACTGCTGCGTCTCGATGTGGCCCAACGTGAACCACCGGGGGTAGCGGTTGAAGGCGGGCGGCACCACGTTGCTGCTGCCGCCGCCCTCCTCGTGGTCGTCGTGCTCCTCCAGGACGGGAAGGCGCATGGCGCGAAGCCCCACCTCGTACGCCAGGTCGGGGTAGTAGTTGAGCAGCGCGAAGAACATGAAGCGCGCGAACGTGTGCATGGGGATGCTCTCCGGGTGGATGCCGATGCCGAGCCCCGAGGTGGGCCCGCCCTCCAGCAGCACGATGGCCTGCCGCCGCAGCACGCCCACCAGGGCCGAGTCCAGCTCCATCTCCTGCAGCTTGGCGATCAGGCGGTCCTCCTGCTTGCAAGCCTTCTCCTGCGCGTACAGCCCCGCCGGCATGATGCGCTGCTGCCCCAGGCCGATGAGAGCCACGTCCACGGCCAGCGTGAGGTACGTCTCGGAGCGGTCCCTGGAGCCCACCACGGGCACGTGGTGGTACCGCGGCGGCACGCTGCTCGTGGGCTCCTCCACGCCGACGGAGTCTGCAACAACGCGCACGTCACACTCTGAAACTAGCAGGGACGGGTTCGAGTTTCGCGAGCCGTCCAAGTACTCACCGAAGTAGGTGGGCAGGCGGGGCATGTGGTCGTCGGGCACCAGGGAGGCCTCGGCCAGCGTGTCGAAGAGGCAGCCGATCGGGTCCAGCGGGTGGCCCACCCAGCCCTCCGTGTTGTACACGGCGGGGGACGCGCCGCAGCAGCTGGACGAGGACGGCCCGGCCGACGACGTCGACGCCCCCAGGTGGCTGTCCCCGCTGCCGCTGCGCCCCACGCCGTTGCTGGCGCTGCCGTGCAGCCCCAGGTTGCTGCCCATGCTTCCCATGCTGCTGAGGCTGCTGCTGAGGCTGTAGCCGCCGTGGTGCGGCGCCGTGCTCCACGTCGTCGACACGTACCGCGACGAGGGCGGCGGCGGCGGCGGCAGCGACGTCGGCGGCATGCTCGGGCACGGCGTCGTCGTGCAGCCAGGCCCCGAGCACCGCGACGAGCACGGTAGTATTGAGGTGGGCGCCAAGGGGCACGACGAGCTGCTGCCGCGGCCGCTGCACGTGCCGCTGTTGCTGCTGCCTGGGGTGGTGGTGGAGGCCGTGCTGGTGATGGGCGCCGTGCACGACATGCTGCTGCTGCTACTACTAGTGCTGTTGCTGCTGTTCGTAGAGCTGCTGCTGTTGTTTGAGGAGGAGTTGGAGGTAACATTGTTGCTGCTGCTGCTGCTGCCGCTTTTACAGTTGGTCCCGGACCGATACTGCTGTTGAAAAAAACACCGCGCAAATTAGAAGAATTGCCAGGAAAACTCTGGAAACGGAACGGGGAAAGGGAAAAGGTCCTCACTAGGTGCTGCTGGCTTTCGATCCACCGGCGCTGCGCGATGAGCTGCGTCTGCTTCATGGTGCGCACCACGGCCACGGCGAGGCGCAGCGCCGCGGCTTGGTGGCCGTGCGACCGCAGCGCGTCCACGCGGGCGGCGCACGTGGCCAGGGGCTCTGCGAAACAAGGCGCAGGGACAGCGTAAGCGAGGCGAAAAGGAAAATGACGAGAAAGGTGGCGTTGACGCCGAGGATGCTCACCATGCCACAGAGGCTGCCCCTGCGGGTTGAAGCTCCCCGACGTGAGCGCACTGTCCGTGATGTGCGAGCAGTACGTGTCGCTGGCCAGAATGTTCTTGAGGTGGCCGTTGTCCCAGCTCAGTTCCACGGCGTCCAGCGCGCGATGGAAGACGGTCCTGGGTACGACGGGGGCGGGCCGGCTGTGCGCCAGCGCCTGCCGCGACGCCCGCCTGTTGTACCTCGAGGCCCTCGGGGACGGCGCCAGGGCGCGCGCCCGGTAGTTGCTGCCCGCGGCGCCGGCCCCCGCCGCCGCGTTGGGCGTCCCGCTGCGCCCCGCCCCGGCGACGCCCGCCTCCGGGGCCGCCGCCTCCGCCGCCTCGTCGTCCGAGCTGCTGTCCGAGGAGTCGAACGCGGCTTGGTGGTGGTACTGCAGGGAAGAGGACGGGCACGTTAGACAATCGCAACCAAAGCGTTTATTGGGGAGCGCCTGGAGGTTAGGCCGCGCTTTCGAGCCTAGCCGCCGTGCTCGCCGGGACTGCCTAGCGTCGCTTCGCAGGCGGCGCAGGCGGTGCAGGCGGTGACTCACCGCTTCGTGACGCGTGTTGGCGGCGGGCTGCGGCCGGTAGTCGGGGTCCTCCAGTGGGCAGATGTCCATGGCGGCCCACTTCTCCAACAGCCGCTTCCAGTTCTGCTTCTCCAGCAGCGTGCAGTGGGGGTTGAGCACGATGCAGACCCACAAGGCGCCTGGGCACAGACAGGGCGGGGTTACCCTCGGGGTTACCGGCGCGTCATCGCCACAGGGCGAGAGCGGAGCAGAGCCCTCAACTCGACACACGACCGGCGGGCCGGCGGCTTACCGAGCTGGTCCCAGAGCTGGCGGCACTTGTCCGTCATCGGCGTGCCCTGCGACTTCCACAGGATGAGCCGCGGGTCGGACAGGAACTGCTCCGTGATGAGCGTCAGCATCCTGGCGCCGTTCGAGTCCCGCGCACGGAGCATCTCGCGCACCTGGAAACGCAGCACGCACGCAGCGTTAGCAACAACAACAACAAGACGAACAAGAACAGCGCGACGAAGGGCGACTCACCTTGGCGAAGAGGCTGTTGAGCTGCTTGTTGGCGTTGTAGTACGAGCCCTGGTTGAGGTACGACCGCACCTGTTCGCAGACCTGCTCCTCGTCCAGGTGCCACGTGTGGTCGTCATCCGCGCTCGCACCCGCCGTGGGGTCGGGGGCACCTGCAACCACACAGCGACATCAAAACGGGGCCCACGGACTCGCTGCCTCCAGCGCCACCTGCGCGACCCATCTTTAGTCATGAGTCTACACTCGGAAGAAATGAGCAGCGGTCTAGATCCTTAGCTTCGACTCCACCCCAGATTCAAGTCCGGCTTGGCTCGAGAAGCACAGTCGAGCATGGAAGCAAATCTCCCTGCCGAGCTCTAGCACCTCTTCCTGGATGGAGAATCACTGAGCCGGGCCGCTGCTCGCGGCTTCCGGGCGTTCGGTGGCGTTCGCGCTGCTCCCCGCGATCTTTCGCATCAATTTTATATCCGCTCTGATCAAAACACGCGGGCCGCGTCGGGCCGTGGCGTCGGCCCGTGGCGTCGGCCCACCCATTGGCACGGACCGGGAATCCCATTGAGCGCCCCGGCCCATTCTCAAGCGCCGCGCCAGCTGACAAAGGCATTCCTCCTTGAGCTTGATTGAAATCTCATTTGCGTCGCACTCGCCGCTCCTTCCCTCTCCCTCTCTACTCTCCTCTTTCCCCTTTTATTTTTTGATGGATCAAAGAGGCGGAGGTCGTCGGGGGGCTGCTCGGCCTGAGGCTCGGCCCGAGGCTCGGCCCGGCCCCCGTTTCGGCCTGCGGGCGCCAAGGGTGCCAAGCACTGCCAACACGCCCCGAGGCGCCCTGCATCCGGAGGGAAGGGGGCCCCGAAGGGGGCACGCCGCCTGGAAGGTAGGCAGCACATCGCCCCTGTAGGTAGGCAACTTTAGAGCAAGCCCCTCTCTGGATCCGCTCTTGGGGTCTACGCCCCATTTGGGGCATGAGATCTGGCGGCAAGTTTCAAAACGGCAAGGCGTTTCTCTCTCTCTCTCTCTCTCTCTCTCTCTCTCTCTCTCTCTCTCTCTCTCTCTCTCTCTCGCACTCACCGGGTATTTGGTTGATCTCCGAGCGCTGCTGCAGGATCTCGTCGGCCAGCTTCTGCGCGGTGGGCAGCACCTCGGTGTGGTGCTCGGCTATCAGGTACTGGCAGAACTTCTGCAGCTGCTGTCGGTCCATCTGCAGCAGGGTCTCTGCAACACGCGACCAGGGCGTCAGACGCACTCTCCGAGAACAGGATGCACCGTTCGCAAAAGTAAATGAAAAGAAAAAGCTGGCGGGTGTACTGAGGTTTCTTGTGAGGACCTAATGCGTGGGAAAACCTCCGCCCCGAAGCTGTGGTCTAGCAAATACGCCACAGCACACCGGTTACGATCAGTATGGTTTCGTCGCGCTGTCTCTCTCTCCCTCCCTCGCACTCATGGCGCGTTCCGAAGGGGTGGGTGCGAGAGAGCGCACACAGCCGTGCGGAATCAACGTTGTACCACACAAAGGTGCGTCGTTCCGCTTCCGTCCCCCGAAACAACTTCCTGGCTGCGCCGCAGCGCCACCGAAAACCGAAAGTGGTGCAATTGGCGGATGGCGACGCCAAGGCGTGGCGTCGAAGGGTTTCCCTCTCGGACCCGCACCGCCGTGGCCGTCGAGCGCGGCCTTCGCCCGCCTTGGCCGTAATCGCGGTATTGGGGGTCGACAATGACGCGCCGCGAATCGCCGAGCCAAAGTGGCGGCGGCGGCGACAACGACGACTTTCGCCGTCGCCGAGCTCGGAGGACTTGGAGGACTTCCCTCTCCGGCACCGCCACGTGGCGCCCCCTCGCGGCCACCGGCGGCACAGCCTCACCAACGGCGCGGACAGGGAAGCAACGCGACTAAAAACACAACAACAAGGAAAAAAAACGGCGTGAAAAAAGGAAACCTGCCGCCACCGCCGGCGGCCCCTCAGTTCCGGTGCCGGAAAAGCCGGCGGGAACAGCGCCGCCATTCAAACAGGCCGGGCCGCACCACCGGGCCGTCCGGCCGTCACACTTTCTACAAATTTACTGAACCACCTGTGTGGAACAGCACAGGCCGCCGCCGACAGGACGGACGGGGGACTCTCGGGGCCAAACCGTTCTGAAACGCGGCGGCCCCGTCGACGACGGCGGCCACCCGGGCGGAGCAATCGGCCGCGGGCATGGGTGACCGCGGCGAGGGGGACGCCGTCGTCCGCCAAAACGGCAAAAACAGACGGCCGTTCGGACGGAAACGCCAAAATGAGGGGAGAAAGAACGAGACGAACAAAGCGCGTTTTGTTTTCGAAAGGGCTTTGCGTGCTTTGCCTCGCCGGAGGGAGGGGAGGAAACAGGGGCAAAAGGGAGAAGAGGGGGGGGGGGCAAATTTGATTTGAGCGCTCTTCGCTCTTGTTCCGCGGCCACCTCGCCGCCCCTCGCCGTCCTGGCCAGGCCGACGTTGCGTCCGTTCCGTCCGACGCCCCGTGACACCCCCGGTGCGGCCGGTTACTCTACAGTGCGGTGGTGCGGTGCGGCCAATCGACCGCGAGGCGCGAGGCCAGCCGCGCCTGCCGCCCTAATGACCCTCCCGCCGCACTCGGCGTGCTCGCCGGACAAAGGGACAGGCGGGCAGCGCGGCGTGACAACGCGTTGCGAAACGCGCCTCGCGCTTCGCGTTCGCGTCGCCCCTAACAGTGTGTCCGAGTGTGTCCGAGCGCCTCGCCGACGCACGCGCGTGCTGCGGTCGACGTCGCCGTCGTCGTCACGTCGGCCCGATCCTCCAAGGAAAGCCGCCAAGACGCGGGGGCGTCGGACGGGGCCGACGGGACGCACACACGCACGCGGTGAGGAAACAGCGACAACCACGTTGGAAGAGACACACATGAGGAGGCCGCATGCGACTGCGGGGGTGCCACCACGGCGGCCCCCCGAGGGGTTGCCAGCCACGCTGCCTCCACAGTGTGCTGCTGCGTGGGGCCCGGGCCCATGGAAAAGGGGCCGGCTGAGGCCGTCGCGAGGGTGGCCCCGCCCGGGCAGTACGGCCCGGGGCCCCAAAGGGATGGGCAAACGGCATCGTATTGTGAAACTTGCTGGAGCTTTTGTCTAATGATTTTACATGGCGGAGCTCGAACTTCCAGCCCCTTTTCAACGACGGTTTAGTGACCGTGCGAAATTGTCAGTGCCCTGGCGCCGCTCTCTTTTGTCTTGAGAAACCTCCAGCCTTGGACTCACCTGAGATGGGCACGCGCAGGCGCACGTTGTCGGCGTTGCGGATGCGGTACAGCGACAGCGCCACCACGTGCTGGCACCAGAAGATGTCCCTCGTCTCGCAGGAGCACGTCACGCTCGTGATCTTGCACCTGCACACAAAGCAAACGGCCCTCCTGCTTTAGTCTGCTGGCTAAACGGTGAAAGGCGGCAAAGCGGACGGCACCATTGTCGTCGTCTAGGAGGCGGCACGCGTCGCAAACGCGTCACGGCCGCGGCACGTGCCCGACGCCGCGCGACACGCCGCGCGACAAAGGCACAAAGAGAACAGCGGCGGCGGCGACGCGGCGTTGAACCTACAGATTTGCGAAATCGCGGAGCTCGCCTCGCCGCTTGCTGGCCGACCATCATCATACAGTGTATCACCGCGCTAGCTTGGCTAGCCGTCGTCGTCGTGGGCCAGGCGCCACGAGCCACGCGCCGCCATTCACGTCGCCCACGCCGCCAGCCTCGCCAGCCGATGCGCCGGCCGGTGGTGGTGCACAGCCAGTGCACAGTGGGCCAGAAGACCGGTGGAGCGGCCAAAACTCTAGCCGCGCTTTGAGCTCCAGAGTCGCTAAATGAGACTCGAACCGAACGTGTGACCCCCACCAATGGATTGCTCTCCGAACGAGGAATCCATTGGTGGGGTCACACGCTCTGTTCGAGTCCTGTTTAGCGACTCTAGAGCTCAAAACGCGTCTAGGATTTTGGCCGCCCCACTGGTCTTCTGGCCCACCGTGCAGTGCGCGGCCTGATGCAACCGCTGCAGCTGCGAAGTGGACGAAGCGGTCCATAAGCGCTTGCAGCCTTGTCACGGGCTGACGAGCTGGCCCGCACGCACTGCATATCAAGCACCGAGTCAGTGACGCACTCGGCGGACTCGCAGTGCAGTGCAAGGCAGTGCACTGTAAGAGCGACCAGCATCCGCGAACGCCAATGTGCGCATCAGACGCCCCCCCCCCCCAACTTTTTCTGCAGCTGCACGTTTTCCACACAGCCACCCGAGACGCAATAAATCCTACCCCCTTCGCCTCCACGCCGCGCCGCCGGCCTCTGAAAAATTCAAATAAAACGCAAAAACGACAACGGCGAAAAAATCAGACGCAAATGCTAAGTCCCACGCGGGGGTCCGCCCCCCTGCCCGTATAAGTAAGCGGCCTCCAGGAGAGCCGAGTGCACTGTCTGCTCGGACTGTACAAGAATGCAGCATCATGCCGGGCAGGCAGTGGCAGGCAGTGGCAGGCAGGCTGCTGCGGGGCAGAAGGACTTGGGACTCGGATGCCTTTATATGTCACCTTGCCCTGCCGCGCGCTCGGCCCAGCGGCCCCGCGGCCCCGCCCCTGCTCGCCCGCGAGCACGTCCTCCCGGCCGACGCGCTCTCCAACCTCTCTAACCTCGCCCGGCCTCTTGCCCGGCCTGGCAGCGGCGGGTTGCGGCCTGCGGGCCCTGCGGGTTCGAGCCCCTGCCCACCCCGCCAAGGCCGGGTGGCGCGTTTCGCCGGCGCAAAAGTGCCGCCACCGACGTCGCCGTCGTCGTGGCGCGAACCAAATAGGATGACGACGTCTGCTTCGCGCGGCCGCGGCCTTACCGGGACGAATCCGCCATCCGGGCCGCGTTCGCTCGCGCCAGCGCATTCCCCGGCCGCGGCTGGAGTGTCCGGAATAAGGCCTGCAAGGCGGCGGCCAGTGACAGGTGGACAGGTGCTACCGCGATGCGCGCACACGCACACACGCACACACACGCACACAGACGCCACCTGCTGCCGCGCACGGACAGCTGCAGCAGGCAGTGCAGTGCCAATTACGCCGAGTATGATCGGACCCGCCCGACGACAGCGCGAAGGCCGTGTCCGACAAGCGGCGCACATCGGCGACGTGGTCGTCATGGCGACGCGCCGCGACGCGCTCGCCGTCGTCCTGGATCCGGTCCCGGGGCGGGGAGCGAAGGGCAGGCCGGCAGGGCGGCAGGACTCGCAGCCAAATCCGAGTTGATCTGAGTTGCAAAGCGCTAAGCACGGCGGCCGGCACGTCACAGCGCAGCCCGGCACAGCCCGGCACAGCCAGGCACAAAGGGACGCATAAATTATTGCTATAAAATAAATTACAATACATTACATAAACAAATTATACGACGAGCATTTACATACACACACTACACTGCTGGCCGGTTAATGGCGCTGACCCGAATTTCAAGCAGGCATCAGCAGGCATAGTGACGCTCTGCGACGCTCTGCGACGCTCTGCGACGCTCTGCGACGCTCTGCGACGCTCTGCGACCAGCTCCAGCACCTCCACTTCCGAACGGTGCGCCCTCCTCGCCGTTTCTCTCGTACCCGCAGCGTACCCGCGACGGGGTGCGAGAGAGACAGACAGAGCGGCGACCCGCTGCTCGGAATCTGCCTGCAGAGCCGCTCCCTAGACCCTCCACGAGATCCCAAGTCAAGTGGGTCGGTCCACCACCGCCGGCACGTCCCCGTCGACAATCGAACACTTCTAGGCCAGGCCCCGCCAGGCCCCGCCAGACCGCCTCCACGACGTCCTGGGCGTGCACCGACTTCGGAACACCACCGCGCCAGCAGGCCGATTCTCCATTGCCCACAAGGCGTCCCGCAACGCAGGGGCGCGACCGAGACGGAGCGATGAACCACAGGAATCAGCCCGAGCTAGGCACAAAGCAAAGGATATGCCCCTTTTACTTGTGTTGCTGTGACACGAAATACACACACACACACACACGCGATGGGACTCATGGCCGTCGTGTGCCTCCCCCTTCCACCGCTACTAGTTCCCCACCCCCCTTTCCCCTCCTCTCAGCAACCCATTCATAAAGCGTGGCCGCGCGGCGTGGCCCAGCGTAGCGCCACAACTCGCAGAGAGGAGAGGTGAAGGGGAGGGGAGGGAAGGGGACTGTCACTACGGCCCGTCTGTCTGCCCCCTCCGGGTACCACTCCGGGGCATCGAGAGTGAATCATCGCCCGGAGCAGCGCGGCTGAGGCGCCGTCCGCGGCGCGCCGGCGAGTCCAGCACGGCGTCGACGAGCACGGCGTCGACGAGCACGGCGTCGACGAGCACGGCGTCGACGAGCACGGCGTCGACGAGCACACACAGGCGCGCACTTGGCACCGTGTGCGGCCAAACCTGACCGCAGCGGCGATGGTGGCGGCGGCAGCCCGACCGACCGGCCGACCCGTCGCATCGCATCGCCTTTTTATCTGCAGACTTTGGCAGCGAAATACGACTGGCGGTCGGCGTAAAATTTTACAGCGGCGAGCGAGAGAGTCTAGAGAACCTCCAGCAGCAACGGCGGCAGGCAGGCAGGCAGGCAGGCAGGCAGAGCCGCCCGGTCGACCCGGTCGTCGAGATGGGGGGCGATTTCGAACCGAGCCGATCCGGTTCTTCTTCTCGCTCTTTACGGTGTGCGCCGAGAGCGCCGCGCCGCCGAGCCGCGCCGCCACGGCCCAAACCAAACCGCGGCCAAAAAAGGGGGCGGCACCGCAAAATAAGACCTTGGCCGCGCCGGTTTATGCGGATGGGCTGGCTGGCTGCTCGGGCTGGCTGCTCGGACTCACTCCGCCATTTATTATGCCAATGCTTAGTCTGCCAGTCCGCCATCAATCTTGCCAGGCATAACTGTCACGCCGCGCCGCAGTGCGCCGCGCTGCCTGCAAAGGGTTCGTCCTCGGCGTCCTCCCCGCTTTGTGGTGCTCCCCGTGGACACACCACGCACACAGTGCCACGCACACACACACATACACACACGGTTATCAGCGGGCGTATCAAACGGGCTGCCAGGCGCCCCCTGCACCAGCTGCAACCTTTTGTGCCTCGAATAAAAGCCTCACTCGATTCGGCTCGCCCCGGCCTGGCGGCCTGGCCCGCCCACACCTCATGAGGCCCCTCCCCTCTTACTCACTCACCTGTCGAAGCTGACCGAGACTTTGTACTTGGTGTCCGGCTCCGGGTTGTAGCTGGCGGCTGACGAGGAGGGCGACCTCGTGGACACGATGCCGCTGAGGTGGAAGCCTGCAACAACAAGAGGGGGCGCTTTAGAGGTGGCATGGGGTGAGAGCTGCGCGCTTTCCGTCTGCAAGCGCTGCGAGTAGTATACAACAATCAGGGAAAGAAATGATTCCGCCACTACCCCATGCGCCGAGGTCGTGCCCGCAAGCTGCGCGTGGTAGTCTCTGTGGCGTGGAGTAGCGACGCGCCAGCTCCTTCCCCACAAGCGCGTCTCCCCGCGTCGCCCCGTCGGCGTTCCGACCATTACTCTCGGAGGGGATGACTTTGGCATTCCGGCGCACCCCGCCCGGGGCCACTCCCGGGGCACCTTCCAAACAGTGCCCTCGTCGACGGGACGCCCCACGGGTGCGAGAGAGACAGACCGCCAGACGCACCCCGCGGGGGGCGGAAGACCGGCCACGGCCAGACCCACCCAGCTAGACCATAATCAGACGAGCGACCCCCGTCCTCGTCTCGAGCCTCGTCTTCTCCCGCACCTGTCGACTCGTCTTCCCTTTTACGCCGTCGTCGGCCGCGCCGCAAATTTATGGAAAGTCCCCCTTCCCGTCTCTCTCTGTCCGTCCGCCAGTCTCTCTCTCTCTCGAGGCGAGGATGGCGCCGGCTGCGCGCGCTGCGCGGGGTTTATGCAGATCGTTTATCCACAGCGGGCCGTCGTAATCCGGAGTGCCCGGCCAAAGCGCGTTCGACGCGGACTAGCCCGCCGCGCCCGCGCCGCGGTGCTTGTGTAATATTGGCAGAGCTCGCGGCCGTGGTGCCGTAGTGCCGTGGCCCGGTCGCCTCGCGGCCCTCGCCGCGGCCTCTGTTTACCCGGGCAGACGACAGAGGAGACCAGGCCGCCCGCCCCGTCCTGGGGGTGCTCTCTCTGTCTCTACCCCTCCCTCTCTCTTTCTCTCCACCACGTGTCGTCCTAATAAACATAATCCGCGCCTTACACTGGCTGCCCTTGTGCACCCCGGGTCTTCCCTCTCTCTCTCTCTCTCTCTCCCACCCCATTCCGCCCGCCCGCCACCCCCGCGACGATTTCACGGAGGATTTCGCCTTGGCCTGTCTGCAGCGCTCGCTGGAGCTCGCTGGAGCTCGCGCGCGTCTCCACGCTCCAATGCTACATGAAACACGGTGGCCATCTGCCAAGTGGGGCCGGGTTCGAACACCCGCCCCGCCGCGGCCACTTTTTGTGCCATTTCCCACCCCTTCTGTCTCTCCTTCTCCATCCGCTTGCAGTGTCTCTCCTTCTCCATCCGCTTTTCTTGTTAAAAGGACTGCCGCTCGCAAAGTGCGCCAGTACGAACACTGCCGGCCGGAAAAACTGTTTTGATCCTAATCCAATTACCGTCATGTGTATCGCGAGCGGCGCGGCGTGGCGGCGCGTGGCGCGCCATTGTGACGGCGAATTAGCATAGCACATGCGGGGGGGGGGGGAGGGAGGGGAGACAAGCACGCAGTCCGCGGATATCGACCGGAGAAAGTGATAAAGTGACGGAGGGAAGGGGCAGCGAGTGCGGCGCGATAAGAAGAAGAAGAATAAGAAGAAGGAGGAGGATGAGAAGGGAAGGAAGGACTCCGCGGGGAGGAAGAGGCACTACTCGCAGGAGAGCGTGTCTCTGCACTCTGCAGGCCAAGCAGGCCGCTCTTGACCCATCCGTCATCGCGCTGCCTGCCTGGCTGCCGCGCTCATTATCATTTCAAAACGAGTTCAATTTCCTTTTCTGCACACGGAGCGACTCTTGATGCGCGGCTGGGGGAGGATGTCCATTCACAGTGCCACGGGCCTGCTCCATTCCATACAGAGCAGTGGCAGCGGCGGCGGCAGTGGTAGCAGCAGCAGCCCTGTCCGTATCGCCGGCACATCTTCACGGCTGCCTGCCCTGTGGCCCGATTTAGCCGTCGCGTGGAACCCTGCCGAACGCAGTGCTTTCGTCGCTCCGTCTCTCTCGCACCCCGACGGACGGCCCCGCGAGTGCGAGGGAGACAAAGCCCGTGCTGCAGCACCGCGGGGGGAGCGAGGGAATCATTCAGACGATATGGGCGACGCGGCCGCGGCGTGGGCGTGGCCCTCGGCTTGGCCCGCACATGTGCATGACAACTCTGCACACTGATATCGAGCCGTCTCTCTCGCACGCCCAGGCAACGCGCCCGACGTCGGTACACTGGGAGTGTGTGACACGCCGCCGTGCGGGGGTTGTGCCGTCATTCTCGATGAGTGAATGAGGCCCGCGAGTGTTTGACGGGGCGGGGCGGGGCGGGGCGGGGCGGGGCAGGGCGGGGCGGGTCGGGGCGGGGCGGGGCGGGGCCGCGGCGTTCCAGTCCTGTTCCCATCAAGGTACCGACCGCGAGGCCCATTAAGGCCACGGCCCAAAAGTTTCACTGATGCACGCACACACGCACACCTACACACTGCCACACACACACACACACACACACACACACACATATGACGCACGCTTTTGTTTCCATCCATAAGACGCCTCAAGCCGCCGCCGACCGTTGGGACCGGGACCCGCACCAGGCCCAGGGCGCCCAGGACTTGCCCAGGCAGGACCACTTGCTCGGGGAAATTTCTTCATCAGAGGAGCCTTTTCGTTTCTTTATTTGTTTTCCCACACCGCCGCGCGCCCGCCGCGCCAAAGTGCATCACTTTGCCGGGCCTTTGGCGTGAGTGTGTTGTGTGTTTCCAGCCCCCGCCGGGGTGGCGCCACTGGCGGTGAGAGACCGCGCTGCGCGCCGCGCGCTACAGTGATGGCCCAAAATTTTACAGCCCACTTTAGCATGCTTTAGCAGCACAAAACCCCCGGCAGCACCACCGGCCCCCAAGTGGAGCGGGCCTCATCCCACAGGATGCGACTGCACCGCCCCGCCCCGCCAGCGCCGTGCAGCGTCATGTTCCCGATGGGCAATTTCCGACGAGTAAGGGCCCTCCTCGCTCGTCTGACCCTTACCCCCGCCTCCCCCGGCCCCGCCCCCACCCCCCGCGTGACCCGCCCCCCGCGCCCCGGGTAACCGGTACCGCGGGCCGGCAGCAGCAGGCTCTACAGCAGGCCAGGCAGCGTGGGCACCGCCTGCAGGCAAGCCGCCTTGCCCCCGGGCAACAAGGTGCAGGGCAACAAGGTGCAGGGCAGCCAGCCGCCTCCTTGGTGCGCTTCGGTGCCCGGGGGCATGTTCGATTCACCGCCGGCCCGGAGAAGCCACTGCTCCGGCGGCACGGCAGCCTGGAGCCTCCAGGGGCTCCGCCTCCAGGCTCCAGGGCCCCGCCTCCGGGGCATTACACACGGCTTGCCAGGAATATGAGAACGGCCCCGGGGAAGAGAGAGATGGCTCGGATCGCTGCATTAATTAGGAATGACTCACAGGCGCTTTCGTCGCTCTGTCCTTCTCGCACCTCTGCGGGACACCCCATGCCTGTGCTGTGGGGGCAGCCGAATGTCGTGTCCCCCCCCCCTCTCACTCACTCCGTGCGGAACGTCTGAGCAGCGCGAGAGAGACAGAGCGACGAAATGAGCTCGCTGACGCACGCTGCGCATGCATGCGCGTTAGTATTCGGTATTGAGCGCAGCCAGCACAGGGGGCGCTCGCGCTGGAGCCTGCTTGCTCGCTTGCTCGCCCTCCCGCGCATGCCACTTCATAAATTTATGCTCCCTTTTTCAAACTTTTGAAAACGCGGCCGCCCCTCGGCACGGCAGTGTGGTGGCAGGCAGCCCTTTCACGCGGGCAACCTTGGTACAGCCGCACGGCGGCAGCGGCCCACTCCAGCCTGAAAAGAGTCGCGACTAGACTCACTCCGAACAGTGCCTCGCCTCGTCGCTGCTCGTCGCTCTCTCTCTTCTCTCTCTCTCTCTCTCTCTCTCTCTCTCTCTCTCTCTCCCTCCCTCGCTCGCACTTGCACGGGACGAGTTCGAGAGAGAGGCAGGCGCGGAGGGGGCGTATGCCGAGCCGGGCCGAGCCGGGCCGCCGAGGTCATGACCCTCGCGTGGGCGGTAGGCAGGCAACCTGCGGCGCAAGCAGCGCAATGCTCGCCGTTTGCACAGTGTACCAAATCTGGCGCTTTCGGCCGTCAAAGTCGAGCGGCGCGGACCAGACCGCGGACCGAAACCCACCCGTTCCGTGCCGTGGTCACTTTCCAGTCGAAGAGTCCAGCAACACTCTACTCTACAGTTAGTAGAAACCTTCTCAACAGCCCCCTCGGGGCATCGCTAAGTAGCCCCCCCCCCCCCCCCGGCCGGCCGGCCCAGCCCGCCTCCTGGAGGCCCTGTGCCTCGCCGCTCTGTCCTTCTCGCACTCATGGGGCGCCCCGTAAGGAAGCGAGAGAGACGGCGACGAACCAACCTGCAGGTTCCACCAGGCCACAAAACTTCACCGAGCCGCTCCCAAATCGATAGAGTACCTCAGGAACGTGTAATTCGGGTCCACAGCCGGTGAGGTGAGAACAAAGACCCAATGGCGGACCCGAGCCAGGCCAGGCCGGGCCGGGGGTGGTCTGGAAGTCTGGAGGTACAGTCCGGACCACACGTCCGGAACAAGGCGAAGCAGTGTGCCAACGCGGCCGGCGGCTTCCCAAATTACAAGCACTCCGCTCCGCTGGTGGCTCGGATCACCGCACAGGCCCAGACACCAGGCCCACCGGCAGAGCGACACAGAGCGACCGCGGCGAGAGAAAATTGTTGCGGTTCGACAAAGGGACCGCCACCGCCACACCACGTCGGCGACGGCCAGGACAGTGTCTCCGGGACAGCCGGCGGCGTAGCCAGTGGCGTAGCCAGGGCCTCATTTCCGGGGCGGCGGGCGGAAGGGAGCGCCGGTTACACCAACTCGAGTCATCGGCGTAGTCGACGGCACCGCTGCCTAGGAGTGAGTGAGTGAGTGAGTGAATCACTAGCCAACGCACGGACCTTCCAGACTATTACGCGCCGGATGCGGGGGTGGCCGTAACGCCGCCGCACTGCCGCACGCGGGCGTGGCCGTGGTGGTGGTGCGCGTGCAGGTAAAACACACACACACACGCGTGCGAG